GGGTTGTTACTGTTCAATGTGGTGTGGTGGTTGTGTTGTGAGAGTTGGGTTGTGTTTTAAAGATGTCTGTGTCATATAGGGTTAGATTTGTGAGGATGGAGGTTGCGCTACAGTCATAATAGGGTTTGATACTTACTTTGCAGCCCAGTCTGTCCGTGTGTTGGTGGCACCCACAGGTTGCCGAAAGCCAGCTGAGTTCTTATTCAGTGACATTGGGCCTGATGGCTGTGCTCGCTTCCAATTCACATTGGAATATGCTGATTAAACAAATAAACACAATATAATGGTGAACAATTGAACAAGAGGCCCAGCAGGCTATTATCACCGACATGTAATTTCATTTCAATATATCAGAATATGTTTTTATCAGAGTTGCAATAATTTAAAACCTATGTTCACTTTTTGAAGATGCATGACAAACTATCAGATCCTGTCTGTTTCTGGAAACTTTGAATCTGAAAATCTGTCCAGAAATAGCATCAGAACATGTGCTTAGGAACTCAAGTTGGAAATGTGACTTTTTCAATGACTCAATACAAAATAAATTAGACAGAGTGGCCATTCCTAGCCATAGCGAAAATGTGACAATAGCATTTTCACGGGTAACTTTCACCTTGAACAATTTTTAGGATATCCTTATTCTTTTTTTTAAATGTGAGACAATTGCAACAACCGACAAATGCGTCCTCGAATGATGCCTGAATTCATACGTACCATTGCCTTTGGATGGTGAAAGAAATGATGGAACATATGAGTTATCTTGATTTCGAGAAGAATAATCTTGATTTGTACGTGAATTGTAGCTTGGTCCTCCTGAAAGACAATAGGACTGAAATCACTGGACTGACATACAGAGACTCTTTGTTTGATAATCTTACTCAGATGATTGAGCACAAAAAAATGGTACATAGTATATTATTAGTAAAATTGTCAGTGATATGATGTTTAATGATATTTGTCAGTTATATGCATTTTAACAATAACCAACAGAAACTGCATTATGATAACGTTTATTAAACACATTGAAATTAATTGTATCATTGTTTAAATTTCTAGTCGCTGACAACATGTTAGTGATGAAGCAGTTAAATACAGGTAACAACAAGTGCCAGGCCCCTTACCCAGTGGTGGCAGAGGGTTCCGGCCCACGTTGGTACCAGCAACTGTGTTTTTGTTCATGCCCGTATTCCAAGGACTGCCCGTGTCCTTTTTGGCACTGTTCCGAGGGTTAATACCTGTATGGGGATAAAGGTCAAATCAATATATTCTCATATACCTAAGGGTGCAGATATTCCAAAAATAAGATGATTGGATATTATTTTCACAAAGAAAACGTGGAAGAATACTTTATACTCATTATAAACAAGCCATTCAGATTGATATGTCTCCCTGTGCCACACTTTGATCATCAATGCAATCTATGGTTCAAGTTTGGTTGGTCTAGCACTTATGTTTTCAGTGAAACTATGTTTAACACAAAAACTTAATGTTGATGCCGCCGCTGCTGAAAAAGCAACACCTGAGTCTCACTTCCGCTACTTTGTGGCGGTGAGACAAAAACTAGTGTAGCTATATTATAAACAAGTAAAACCATATTCCGAATGCTTACCTGGTAGGTAACGAGCCTTCCCCAGGTAGTGCTGCTTGGCAGAGGATGCTGCTGACGACCGCCCCGATGGGACCCGAGCCATTCTCTGACTTGGCTTCTTATTCATTATGCCTCTGAAAACAACAATATCATGTAATCGGGACACAGTCCATAGTAATGATATATAATAATATAATATATTATAATAATACATGCCTTTTTCCATATCACACCCAGTATCAACCTGAGACTGCAATATCAGCCTGAGAGCTTATATTGGTCGAGGGTTAATACTGGGTGTGATATGGAAAAAGGTGTGTTTTATTGTTTATAACATACTTACTAATAAAAGCTTCTATCTTATGATCTATTTTTCTTTTGAAATATTGAAAAACGAAAAATGTCCAAAACGGGTGTGATACATGTTTTGTGGGCTGATACAGGTTTTGGGGTGTGATACGGCGGGGGCCGTAATACGGCTTTTGGGGTGTGATACAGCGGGGGCCGTAATACGGCTTTTGGGGTGTGATATGGCAAGGGCTGATATGGGTTAGAGCAATTGTGTTGTATCGCATATACAAAAAACCCATATTTATTAGTATGTAATAAAGCACATTATTAGACCACATAAACGGACAATATTTTTGTTAAGATGATTTAGATTCACTAACTGAAAACATAGCAGTTATGGGACTATTACTATCTCATTACATGTATTTTAATAAAGATTGCTTCAGAGCTTTGAAATTTCAGGCTAAATGAGTTTCACTGTACACATGGGAAAACTTTGATGATGCAGTAAACAATTTATCAACTAAAACTGATGTATTAATGTTTTCCATGTTTAATGTCATCAGCAACAATGCAAACACTGAAATGTATATGTGCCAACAAGATAGAAGTAAAAGCATGGCTTAATGTGATATCGTATTACTATTACTACATAAAGTGACAGATTTAAAAGTTGTCCCCAGTGTATTGTTATCAGCGGAGTACAGCCCAGTCCTGAGTCAGTCTGTATCATAAAGATAACCAAAACATACTCTAGTCAATGATGACAAAACCAGCCTTGTGTCACTCGTAAATGGTCTGTATGATAATGACATCTTTTCCCTATTATAGCTGATCAATATACTTACCCTAGGAAATCATCATCGTCATCATCATCAAAGTCCTTGTAAAGTTTCTTGTTTTCATTCTTGGGCTTGATGGACGGTATGATACCTTTGTATGTGTTTTTAGGTTTACTAGGCACAGAGAAGCTCAGGTCTAGGTCATCCCCGAAATCATCCAGGTCTGAGGCACCAACACCCCACCGCTTTCTTCCTCCACTCTTCTGGGGTGCCTTCTTCACAGCCACCGTAATTGGGTCCTGCAATATGACCGTATCCTGTTTTATCTACATCATCATAGGTCAATGAGACAGATACAGCAAGATTACAGCAAAGCTTTCTCTTCACGTCCCTACCTTAAAATATTATTATTCCTTCTGTAAATATTGCTTAGTTTTTAGTGGACTATTATAGTGCAAGCCTAAAGACTGCAATATGTTATCAGGCTAATTTATAGCTATTGCCTCAACTACCATAGTTGTTCAGCATTAAGCCCATGCCCGCTTCTTACATAGATTCTCATAAACACAATTCTTTTTTTTCTTTTTTCATAATTGGTGGTTTAGGTAAAGTTTAGGAAAAAATGTTGAAATGAATTTATGTTATTTAAATAAAGGTTGCATGGTGTGATAACTTTCCGTATTATAATGTTCACTTTTTGTTTATTCTATAGAAAATTATTATAAATGCACTGGACTTCTAGGGGTACAATACACTGTGATATATTGCAATGTCCCTTTAAATACATTGTTTTCCAATATGAAAAGTGCTTGCAATACCCACTCCTAAAATACAGTTGCTAGGGTTATCTAAATGCATTTTGAATTCCTTTTGCTCTTTTCAACGTACCCCTGGTAATACCTATGATAAGATTTTGTTTGATAATTGATTTCTATTTAATTTAACTTTAGATTCAGGAAGACCTTTGTTCCAGGCAAGTCTCAGTTCTTGGTTGAAACCACATTAACACTCTATCTTACGTTGTCAAACTTGTCCTTGCCATAAGAAGGGAAGGGATCGTTGATTTTATTGCCGTAATCCACCTTCTCCTGGAAGGGTTTTGGGGGCGAGTATCGATTTTCCTCCTTCTTTACTGGTGATACCCTCACAGGGGAGGCAGCCACAGGACTCGGTGACACCACTGTCTTGGGCTCATTCCACTGAGTTTCCGATTTGATACCTTTGTTTGGTCCTACTTGGAAATATTGGTACCGCAAACACTGAAATAAAGAAAGCCATATACCAGTATATACATTGAAGTAGGGTTCATGTTTGAAATCATTTTTAAGGCTTCGTAAAAATATTGGTTTACACTGTAATGATGAAAGGTACAATATATACAGTCCACACATTTAGCACCAACTGTCAAATACTTTGGAGTAGCTAGATCAGGTAAAATAGTGACAATGCATTAATCTGAATCTGGCTAAATTTCCAGCATACATATTGGATTCTTGTTAAACTCCTTATTGCAGCAATGTTTCAACCAAAACAAAGCCCAGTTTGAAGGAAATACCTTTTTAACAAGAACTTTGTAAACAAACATAGCACCACAGCGATCTATTCTTTATTACTTAATAGGTAAGCAATAAGACATATAGGTAATATTGTTTTAACAGGTGTAGCTAGTTTGGTTGCTATATCATTCATTTTTTTCTTTAACTGCACTCTGGAAGATGGAAATTACTTTAAATTGCTTCATGCTTCCATGGCAACACAAAATCGCTGAGGCTACTCATACAGGTAAGTGGCTGGAGAGTTCACCACACAACCATACCTGTGTGGCTGGAGAGTTCACCACACAATCATACTTGTGTGGCTGGAGAGTTCACCACACAACCATACTTGTGTGGCTGGAGAGTTCACCACACAACCATACCTATGTGGCTGGAGAGTTCACCACACAACCATACCTGTGTGGCTTGAGAGTTCACCACACAACCATACCTGTGTGGCTGGAGAGTTCACCACACAAATATACCTGTGTGGCTGGAGAGTTCACCACACAAACAATCCTATGTGGCTGGAGAGTTCACCACACAACCATACCTGTGTGGCTTGAGAGTTCACCACACAACCATACCTGTGTGGCTGGAGAGTTCACCACACAATCATACTTGTGTGGCTGGAGAGTTCACCACACAACCATACTTGTGTGGCTGGAGAGTTCACCACACAAACATACCTGTGTGCATGTGGGCCTCTTCTTGGGATCCCACAACATTGAGTCCTTTAATACCATGATGGCCTCGTTACTGGCATTTGGTATGAGACTCTTCAGGTTTGTCGCAACACACTGTGGCCATCTAAAATTCATGGCTGCAGCCAATTTGGACCCTTCTGGCCAATCTTCCTGTAAACAAGCAAAAACATAATAGACCATCACCTCTCATTACAGGGATTATTTTCAATTTCTAAAATGATGTAATGCTTAAAAACCATAAAAAAGTCTACTAAAATGGTATTTTGCTTGTTATTTATGTGTGAAAATGTCAGCTTGAAAAATAACAATTAAGGAAGATTAATTATTTATTACCCTCACTAGAATGTTCTGATCATCAGTTACAGCCTTTTTCAAACAAAATGTTCCCTTTTCCAACAAAATGTTCTCTGTTTTTCAAACAAAATGTTCTATACATACATTTTACCACTGGTAATCAATATATTTTTGTCAGCAAATAAAATCTGAGGAAATTAAAAATAAAATTACCTTTTTAGGTGTACCTAAAACTGAGCAGATTTTGAATATCTGGTCAATCTCTGAGCTGCCTGGGTAGAGAGGTCTGAGAGTATAGAGTTCTGCCATGATACAGCCAACAGCCCATATGTCTATCGGGGAATTGTAGTTTGTGGACCGCAGTAGTACTTCTGGTGCACGATACCTGTTTCATCAAAGCATTGTGTAAGGAATTTGTCAACAAATACTAGCTTTCCTTTTTTTCAAATCCATGACTTCTCATACAACTTCTAACTGTTCAACAGTGTGATAGTTTTCCGGAAGATCAAAATGGCAGTGTGTGAATCGGGTAAGAGACTGGCTGTCAGTGTTGTGGTGGTTATTTACACATGAACCCATTAAGGTCATTGGAGTGTATTAATAAACGGAAACAGGAAGTACATCCCTAGTTGAAAATCCAATGTAGGGAGACAGTATCACAATTTCTGCAAATTCTAATGTTAAATATTAAACTGATGAATATTGTATGTTTATTATTGACAGAACAGTGTGCTCTCTCAATATTAAAGTATTTCAATGCAATCTGGGTATTAATTCAGTTTTTTTTATCAATGAGTCACGCGTGTTCATTTTTCTGTACTTCAGGAAACCGGCTACCTATTTCACTACTGTGAAGTTTTTCAAGAACGATAACTCTTGCCTGCAATTACTATGTGTATATGGTTTTATTATAAAATGTCAATTTTTATATCGTGTATTGAGAATTAATTTTATACAATTTCAGCATTTATTAAATTGATATACATTAATGCAATACCAATATATGTCAGTATCATTTTTATTGACATTATTTTGTAAAAATATTGTGCCTTTCATTTTTTTTTCAAAATTCACTCCTTTTTACATAAATTTCCATTTAAAATCCTTAAAATTCTGACAACCTATATTTTTTTTGTGGCAGAAAATTTTCTTTACTTTAAAGCAATATAACTACAAAATTTGAAGAAATCCTACTGAGAAATGGTGACACAATCCTATTACCTTAACACAAGTCTGGGGTGGTTGTTCCAAGTAGAAATCTCCTGGTCCGACATATTTATAGAATGTGTCGTTCATGCTGAATTTTAGTCGTAATTTTCAACATGCTAGTGTTATTGTCAAACAAAAGGCTCTTGGTGCTCACCATTAAAGGATCTTTATCTTTTTACTGTCAATGATGAATTATCATTAGGGCCAGGGCTAATTTTGACAATGAGACCTGGGGGAACATGCATATAAAAGTGATAACAAAATTGAAATAACAAAATTCAAGACGGCTTCCTGGTGGCAATCCTTTTCTTCGGATTAGTCCTAAAAATCAATATGCATAAGTTCTTTCTGAGAAATCAGGCTTAAAAACACCTGTCAGCTATTTCGGTTTTCTGACCAGTCCTAGAATTTGATATGCGTAGCTTGGTACCATAGAGAACATTCATGTGAAATTTGAGAAAATACTTCTGAGAAATAGAACTAACAAACTTTAACTATCAAAATTCAAGATGGCTGCCTGGTGGCCATCTTGGTTTTCTGATCTGTCCAAAAATTCAACATACATCACTAAGGACCATGGGGAACCTTCAGGTGAATTTTCAGAAAGATTCCGCTAGTACTTTCTAAAAATAGCAAGATTCCGCTAGCACTTTCTTAAAATAGTACTAACAAAAATAGTTCAAGGATGGACAGAAAGAATGACGGACGGAACACGGACCACAGAGTAAGGGTTTTTAATAGCCTACCACTACCAGCTGATGATGGTGGGCAAAAAATAAACTAGGCTTGTTGCTTGAAAACAATATTCATTGCACAGGAAATTGATTCTGAATCTAATTGGAGCAAGAAGCATTGCAAATCACCTCTATTGGGTAACATCTAGAAAACATTCTTGCTATTTTTCTTTATTTATTTTTTCCCTTTGAGAAATACAGATGCCTAGATACCAAGGGCAATGTGGCAATCACAGTTTGGCCCAATACAGGCAGACAAAGTCTGACTGAATACACTGTGTATGTCTGAACGTACCATCTGGTGGACACATAGTCTGTATATGGAGGACGTGACCTGATTTCCCTGGCCAGACCAAAATCCGCGATTTTCACTAAATCAGCACCTGAGCATAACAGATTTTCTGGTTTCAGATCTCTGTGGAAGAAACCTGCAAAAACAAAAGTGAATTATCAGAATAATGTCGGCAAAATAAACAAGAGGCCCAGAGGGCCTGTATCGCTCACCTGGATATCTAAGCAATCATGGCAAAATATTCTCCAAATGAGATCCAAGGGAATATGCCAGACCCCAAGAGCAATCCTTGTAGCATATCTGTATTTGATTTTTATGCCCAGCAATTTTATGTATGGTTATGGGTTGGGGATCTCAACTGTTTCCAAGCTGTGACTGAGAAACTAGGTCCCTAGGGTTGTGGCCAGACCCCAGGATCAATTCTAATATCATGACTACATTTGTCTCTTTTTGCCCTGCATTTGTATATATAGTTTTGGGTTGGGGATCTCAACCGTTTCAAAGTTATGACCCAGACCCAGGGGTTATGTCTGCAAGGGTGGGGTAGACCCTGGGGTTAATTCTAATATCATGACTGCATTCGTCTCTTTATGCCCAACAATTGTATATATAGTTTTGGGGTGGGGATCTTAACTGTTTCAAAGTTATGACCCAGGGGTTAAGTCTCCAAGGGTGGGGCCAGACCCTAGGGCCATCCTGAAAGCAAATGTGCATTCTTCTCTCTATACTCAGAAATTGTATATATGGTTATATGGTGGGGATCTCAACCATTTCCAAGTAATACATTTCTTTTGGCCCCACCCCTTAGCCCGGGGGTCAGCCCCACCATTTGTACAATTTTGAATCCCTGCCTCCCATGAATGCTTCCGACCAAATATGATCGATATCCATGGTAAAGTTCTACGGAAGAAGTCGTTTATAGCAATATAGCCAAATTGCCCCCTTTTGGCCCAGCCCCTCAGCCCCCTGGGGGGTCAGCCCAACCATTTGTACAATTTTGAATCCGCACCACCTAGGGATGCTTCCAGTCAAATATGGTTGATATCCATCTCTAAGTTCCAGAGGAGATGTCGCTTAAAGCAATATAGCCAAATTGCCCCCTTTTTGCCCCGCCCCTCAACCCCACCATTTGTACAATTTTGAATCCCCACCACCTAGGGATGCTTCCAGTCAAATTTAGTTAAATTCCAATCAGTGGTTAAGAAGAAGTCGTTTAAAGAAATTGTTGATGGACGGACGACGGACGGACAGACGCCACGGTATGGCATAAGCTCATATTGGTCCTTCGGACCCGGTGAGCTAACAATTAAGTAAACAGCACGTTACCATGTCTGTCTCAATTACTATGTCAAATCAGAAATTTAAGTTGGAAATTTCAGCATAGTGTTGTTCATTAAGGCCTATTATGTATTGTACCAATCCATGGAAGGTACCTCGTTATTGAGGGCCAACCAAGAGAGTTGTCTTTAATGTGTAATAAGTTTTCCCCATTCAACCATCTATTTGATGAGCAGGATCGAAGAAACTGAAAACCCACGAAAAATATACCAAGAGATAGGGGTAATAAGTGTAAATTACCATGTGCATAAATGTCCATGCTTAAACAGTAGAAATCAAATGGAATTCTAATAATCACATACATTGTACATAGGGCTACAGACTTACCATGTTTATGCATGAAGGCTAATCCCTGAAGTACTTGGTAGGTTACATTTCTTATTGTTGACTCAGGTAAAATACGATCTCTGAAATAACAATTTTTCCAAACAGATCAATAAATATGGATAAATATTTTTGGGAGGAATATGAAAAGGTCTACCAGGTAGTTGAAAAACTGAGACTTTTTAAACTACATTGTAGTGTATACATGTAAATGGGGGCAATGGTAACTACAACAATGTAAAATGCTACAGAGCCTTCCATCAATTTGAAACCCTAACCATCCCTTCTTAATTAGTGCTACCACATATCAAAACACACCACAGTATGTAGCACTATAAAGCCTCATTGATGATATAGACTAGTTTGATCTTCTAGCACTAACATTATGATTATTCAAATAAGTACTGTTCCTATCTGCAGTTTCTTTTGTTCTTGCCTCATGTCAGATTAGTACATTCTATTGTATCAATATTCAACATTGTTACCCGTAAAGTTCTGCATTGTACTTTGAATGACTTATTATAGACCATGTACAAACAACTGATAGCTGGTCAATATTTCCTCATCATTTAAGTTTTCATGACTTACCTATCCTTCATCATCTGATACAGATTTTCCTTCATAAATTCAAATACAAAGAAGAGCTGGTCATTTTCTCTGATCACCTCCTTCAACTTTACTATATTGGCATGATTCAATTTTCGCAGAGACTGAAAATTTAAACACATATATCTAGATGAATATTAAATTATAAATTAAGGAAATATTCTATTCATACAGCTAAACTTATTTAAGTGTGGATGAGTTTCAGGCAATTATTTTCAAACAGTGCAATAAAAAACATGCACATCTGATATTTGACCTCTACTAGTGACCTTGGCCTTGAGAATAAGAAGTAACTATTGCCTATACTGTATACGAATAAATAAAACTTCTGGATACACAAGGAGTCCATTCTAAGACCCTTTGATCACTCAAACTACCAAAATAAACACACTTTTAAAAATATTCTCTATACTACATGAACTGCAACAATTCTAGAACTTTTGATTGAAGAACAGTGATGAAATTCCACGCCATGTCTTCAGCCAAGTATTCTTACCTTAACTTCTCTGAGACTTAAACATTCATCCCAGGAATAATACTTTTTCTTCATCCTGAAATAAAAAGATGTTTATATATAACAGAACCTACTTGGTTACTAACTTATTCTTCTTTTTTAAATAAAGCGAACATTTCTGTTCAAATTCTTCAAGAAATAAATGACTATTCTCCAAATTTGTTCAATATTGTGGTGCTAACATTACATTGTAACAATGAAAACATTGTGTATATATATATATATAGCTAAACAAATATGACCTGAATGTATTAATGATTTTTTTCTGTAAAACTTTACACTGATACTTACAACAGAAATTTATACTGTTATTTATATTTTACAGATGAACTTCACAAAGTAATATTTAAAGTATGAAACTTACAGGAGGTAGAACTTTGTAATGTAATACATGTACATGTATTAACACTAACAGGAGCACTTTACACCAGCATAATTTACATTTCAACTTTAAACTTATATATATATATATGAAGTTACAGGCTAACACTAACTGTAAAAATTCCATTTACTAAATGAAAATGATAAACACTGCCACACAAAAATCAGGCGACATTGAATTTTATAGCTATGAAAACAATTTTTCACAATTAATTCACTCTGGATTATTTACAGTAGATACTGGATTTAAATAATATTTACATATGAATTTTAGAAAACTGTTAATAGTTCAAGGATGTTTTGAAGCCTATTTTACACATGTTTTAAAAGTGATAAATTATAATTAGGAATAGCAGATTACTGATTTAGATTTAAGTTGGTCACTTAATCATTTTTCAGTGTATTACTTTTTCATTATTTAATTAATATAACAACGAACAGGAAATCCTCTGTGAATACATCTGTGAGATTTATGTATAAGGTTTCACCTCAGGTCACCGACTTATAGGTGGCATATAAATACATTTTACCAATGTGCATAAACAGTGACATAATTCATCTGTCCTAGATCACCGACGCTAACAATTGCTTTATAACCCACAACCCATTTTGTTCTACCCTGATAACCACTCAAATATACAGGAAGCACCTCTTTAGCCAGAAGGAAATCTTGACAATTATCAAACAAGAAATTGTAATTACTGCTTACTATCAGTGCTAAATTGACAATTTTACAATTTCAGAGTTTAGTGACAATGCCAAAACATGAGATCTCTATGAGAAATAACAATTCAAATCTACTTTTAACAATAAGTATTGAGCGAACAAACAAAAGCGTTTTTTTACCCTCTTTTTTTATGAATGATGGATAATATACAGTAGTCTTGCAAAAAGCAAACAAATATTTAATGTGCCTGTTTCTGATTGCTACACCAGATCCCCTAGCAGTCCAAACAAAATAACTGTTCAGTTTCTCCTTTATTTTCAGCTCTCAAATTAACAGTGTAGATAGTTAGTGAAATATATTTGTAAATATTGTGATAGAGGTTACATAGCACTTCAGACGCGAACAGGGCACTTATTTAAAATTACAAAAAAAAACCAAAAAAAAAAACCCACTTGACTTGAGTAGGTTAACTGATTTTTCTGGTCTTACATAGTAATCTCCTTTGATTCGTGTACAAATATTTTACAATTAATTTTGCAAACTGAGAGTCCTTATGTTATCAGCTATATTTAATCTCTGGTCCTCAGAGTAGCTAGCCAATGGCTGAGAGCCTATATGTACGTGTCTGTAAGCCAGACGACTAGACAAGTATGTATATTGTATGGCCATTTTCACACCCAGACTGAGATCCTTTCCGGACTTTCTAGAAGTTCTCATGTTATAATCACTCTAAGAGGGTTACCTTTATAGCTTCTCACTGACACTCTCATGGAGTGTGCAATGATGTACATGTTACTAACCAACTCAGCAATGACATTTGTTGGGTTGGACGAGGGTGTAAGAAAATCCTTATTATGCAATAACCCACTAACATCTAGATCATTTGTTCCATGCCTGGAAAATCAGACTGTACACAATTTTGTTGGTTCAAACGATTTCTTGGGCAGTAAGTACTATGAGACGAACATTTGTTTGGATAAAATTGACAAGGTGGTACATATACTAAAAAACAAATTGACAAGGTGGTACATATACTAAAAAACAAATTGACAAGGTGGTACGAACATACTAAAAAACAAATTGACAAGGTGGTACATATATTAAAAAAAAAAAAGGAAAAGGTGGTACATACATACTAAAAAACAAATTGACAAGGTGGTACATATACTAAGAAACAAATTGATAATGTTTTAGCATACATAACGCTAATAGAAGCTATATACACATCGAAGCCAACATGTACCCAAAAATAATGCAAACAGAATTCCTAGTTCATTTAGTGAACTATATCCTAAGTTCTGATCTGTATCATTAGCTGTCAATTTGATATGTATTAGTTCATACACAATTTAAGGGTTCCTTTGATGTCCCTACTCTCTCTTGGATTTAATAATGTGGGGTAAATCAATACTCTTGATAAGAGATAACAGGCAGGTATGTATATATATACATATTGGTATTCTATTTATAAATATATTCACAATGTTTCAAAGCCTAATACGGTACAAATACCACATACATCTGATCTTCAGATACTGGCAGCAGGAGTAAGTGTGTGAATGGATAAATATTCAATTTGTGTATATTTCACAAAATGCTTTAAAACACAACTTACTTTTTAATGGCAACATGCTCTCCTGTTTCTGCACTCTTGGCAAGCAGTACACTTCCATACGTCCCATCTCCCAACTGTTTCATTATCGAGTAGCGATTCATTTTGAATTATTTGTAATTAGAACTTCCTTAAATAATATATTTTCTATGATGAACTTTGCATTCAAAGGTGTGGTGTAACCTTTAACCCCTGTGGATGTATGTGGTGGGGTGAAGGTTGGCGGGGACAGGGAATATCCCCACTGCTGGTCATAGTGCTACATTTCATCATATAACCACAGTCTGAAAAAATAACAAGCAAATCAATAGAATATGATATCATGACGGACAAAATTTGCTCTGATTGCTTAAAACTATATGAAATTTGATCAAGAATAGATGCCATTTATTTGTATTGCAAAATGAAAATACGGCATCATATATTTTGGGTAACAGGGGCATCTGGTCCAGCTGTCACAAAGTGTAACATTAATAGGATACATGTATGGAGCCCATATAGGAATTTCATATTCTGATCAATGTTAGCCAGTAGCCATATATATTTGAAATGACATTTATAATTAGACAATCTCCAGTACCTACATACACTGTAGAACATATTGTACATTGAAGTTTCAAGAGGAAACATGAAAAAAGAGTCTGTCACCTTACTAGCTTTGACTAGAAGGACTTTCCTAATAGCTCAGTGACAGAACGACGACTATAAAGTCTGTTGTGTGGTCATGGCCCATATTCTTTTCACAACTTTCTTATTACAAAAGTAAACTACATGTATGCACATTGCCACTGTTTTTACATTACACATTTTCTAAAAAGAAATGGTGTGTGTGGGGAGGGAAGGGATAAAGATATTTGTACTAAAACTCTTGCATTCGACCTTGCATTATGATGATGTGAAAGAAAAACAGCTTCTGTTTCTGATTTAGAGATGATACTTTACTGAGATATAGGTCGTTTAAACTGTCTCTCTCTCTTCACATTATAGTTCACCCAAACTTACTGTAGTCTACAAAGATCCTTGACTAAGATCTACTTTCCCATAGACTACTCAGCAAACACTGCAGTACAGACTTTATAGGTTACATATGTCTCCCACTTCAGCTATACAGCTTCTAACCGCCATTCAAGTATAGTATACTGTAGTGTATCTGGCTTCAGAACCCCCTTCACGAGCTGGTTCTGCTAGGGTTACTACTACTACTACTACTACTACTACTACGTACATTTATCTTTTCAAAGGCTACTGTATAGATTAAAGTTACGAAGTCTTCCCTTACCTTTGATTCCCAATTGATCAATTTTGCATGATAAATGACAAGTATAAGCTATTTCGTCTGGAAAAAACGTTATATTAACTTATCTTGACATTCATGAAAGTGGTATCAGACTCTAGAACTGTCCAAGAAATGCATGTTTTTGACCTACGCCTCCAGTAATGTTACATCTTTGATCAGATTGTCTGTTTCATTTTTATTCGACACATGATTTTATAATTTTCCATACTACACCTATGTATTATCATCGCGGTTCTTATATGACATGCAGCCTTACTCGGTGTATCACTGTCCCTACAATAATGAATAAACAGGAGGAGGAAGTGCTGTCCTAGATACGTCAGAAAATAATAAACGTCCACAAAAATGATGAAAGACGTGACCGATAAGTTAAATATGACACTAGAATCATATGGACTAATTGATGTTATCAGTAAATAAGTACAAAATAAACCAATAGCATGTGAATCGTTGACAGTTGAGAACATACCTCCGCCATGACAGTTGTTGCTATTTGCAAGGCTATGTTTATCACGTGATCAAGATATAGCAACGAGATCACTTCCGGTAGGTTAGGCATATGGGACGCTCTAAACGGAGGGGTTCGATGCTTAACGGTAAAAGGTTTTTTTAATCATTATTATTAAATGATGCTTTTAACACGTGCAATTAGTCAATTGAACCATGAATCAATTTGTAACTGTTTCAACACTAAGGAATGAAAAGACGCCTAGCTTAGAGTAATTTTCCAAATTAACTACGTACATGTAAGCATCTAATATGATATAAAATATTGTATACTGGTTATTATTGAAAGAAACCACCTTCAACTATATGTAATTAGTGATGACAACAGTAACATTGAAGAGAGCAAACTGCAAAGGTGCAGAAAAAGACGACCTTGAGAAACAGGAAGTACATCAGTTGCATTTAATAAAGAAATAATTAAGAGTACAGCAATTAAACAATTAAGTAACCGTTGATTTCAGCAAAGAGACCAACACAGATTTACAAGATCTTATTAGGAAAATTAAAATGCAACAACAGCAATAACTAATGAAACGGCATTTCTTAAAAAAATATGATTCAACTTTAAGCTATCATTACGTCTTCAATTCACTCAAATGCACATCATCAACCTATCTTAAAAACGACCCGTAAACCCGTGAAAAACCGATATAATCATTGCAAAACGATTGCAGAGACCAGAGAAAACTTCCTCAAGCATGACATAGAATGTACACTGTCAGTAGACACTCGGAGGCGGATTTACCTTTAGAGCAAATGCATTGCCAACTACATTGACTGCATTCTGCAGAGAGCTACTTCCGACATGCCAGCAAAAAAAACTCCCAATGCTGTCCAAGCAACTTAGAAAGAGCCCATGCTAACATATAAACAATTGAAAGGCATCTCTGCAGCATTCCACTCCACAGCAAGTTGCTCCCGACATTTACTGTCAGTAACCTCATACAGAAACAACCTCCCAATGCTGCCCAAGCAACCAATAATACGCTCATAAACACCTTTAACCAACTCAAGTGCATGTCCGCAGCAAGGAGAAGCCTACTAATGATTAACCTTCAGCGACCCCCTATAAACTGGCAATGCTGACTACGTGATAGAGATGTCCGCACCATCATAATGAGTAGCAGCACATAGACCAAACAAACAAGACTATAAATCAAACAAACAACACTATAAAAGAGATAATACAACAACAGCAAAAGATATTGGGGACAGCTTTCTATGTTTGACACGGCCGTGGCTCAGTAACTACTTCCCCTGAACGTGATGTTCACATTTGAAAAGGCAGTTTATAGTGCGGCAGGACTTCATTGCGATCTCCGTCGCCATTTATAACTCCGCACTATATATGTAATATATATGTGATTCGGTCCCTTATTCGGCCAGAAAACATTACTCTTTCCAATCACATTACTACTACACTAATCCTACAAATGTTTCAATCTTTTCGATATTGGAAGGACCAGACTTGATCAAATCCCGTTTATTAAAAGAAGTGAGATATTTTAAGCGACCCGTTAAGAAACATACTCTAAAAATAGTAGACTAATAAGATATTTTGGTCATAAATCACAAAGAAAATGTCGTTATTTCACCCACATATACGAGATATGCCAAACCGTTTTAGGAGTATTTGGTTAAAATTGACAATCCGAAATGTCCAATTATTAAATTTATGGACTATAAAATAAGTGCGCATTTTATGTTTGATTGTCAGCGTTATATAATTCCAGGTTTTGACGGGAGATATAATTACGGACGCCAAAAATGACACAAGGAACCTTTCTTTCCCACACTTCCACGGAAGACAGCTCACGCACGTTATTATACTGAAAAGGTCACCATCGCATCATCACTTTATGCAGTGTAACCATGCAGGGTCGCGTCATTAATCCATTTTGAGGCGTGATATTTTCAGTTCACCAAATCAACACTTTTATGCTAGGAAAGTATGAGAGATAAAAATACTTTTTTTATACTGCATGGAGACGGAGCAATTTCAACCGCCTGGATAAGATATTCGAACTTTAGCGCTCGGTAAAGCCTCGTACTAAACTTCAAAAAAAAAATTCTGTCTGCATCACACAGCAGTGATTTATTCTATTATTCTTCATTGTTTTGTGGTTCAATGTACTTCCTTTTGTTTTTTTTGACCCCACAGAATCTACTGTTGACTTTATGAATTGCCATTGCAATCGCCATTGTATTTCATAGTATGTAGCAGCTAGTTTTCTCTTTTTAAACAGCTTCATCGCAGGTGGTTCTATAATAGTTTATAAGGTCAAGGTCACAAACAACAAAAACAAAGAGGTAGCTCGCATTAACTCTTTTTATACTTTTTATATCATATTCTCCAATAAGATATCAGTCCCAACAATACAATTACAATATCAAACAGTGGAATGCAAGCATCAGTTTGCTCTCTCCAAGAGTGTATCAGTAGATGTAAAAATATATTCAATTCATCCCTTTGCAGCTACATGTTTAAGAGCTTAATGAAAGACGACAACTCAACAGTGTATGCATCTACATGTCTATCAACAACGTTCATACAGGGATAACAAAGAGAATAATACATGCCCTTTTCCATATCACACCCAGTATCAACCCGAGACTGCAATATCAGCCCAAGGGCCGAACAATAATACATGCCTTTTTTCCATATAACACCCAGTATCAACCCGAGACCGCAATATCAGCCCAAGGGCGGAAGAATAATACATGCCCTTTTCCATACCACACCCAGTAACATCCCGAGACTGCAATATCAGCCCAAGGGCCGAAGAATAATACATGCCTTTTTCCATATCCCACCCAGTATCAACCCAAGACTGCAATACCAGCCCAAGGGCCGAAGAATAATACATGCCTTTTTCCATATCACACACAGTATCAACCCGAGACTGCAATATCAGCCCAAGGGCCGAGGGCTGATATTGGTCGAGGTTTGATACTGGGTGTGATATGGAAAAAGGGCGTGTTTTATTCTGTTTATTATATACTGACTAATAAAAACTACTATCTTATGATCTATTTTTCTTTTGAAATATCAAAAAACGAAAAAAATCCAAAAGTGGTGTGCTACGGGTTTTGCGGGCTAATACGGAGAGGGCTGATACGGGTTTTGGGGTGGGATACAGCGAGGGTTGAAACGGGTTTTGGGGTGTGATACGGCGAGGGCTGATATGGGTAAGAGCAATTGTGTCGTATCGCATATACAAAGAAACTGTATTTATTAGTAAGTATGTAATAAAATGGAATAAATAGCCACAGTCATCCTATATCTGAACGTCCGGGCTTAGCCTTACATTGGGAGTGATGATCCCCAATCTTATGTCATATCCGAATTCAAAAACAGGACGTTTGCACACAAACAGGAATTCATATTAATTAATACCTAGAATGAAACAGTATTCGTTATAGAATTATGTGAAGATAGTTCTCACAAGAACGTGCAAAATCCATAACATTTTGAATCTGGACCAGATTGTTACTGAAATATCTTTTCAGAAATTTGAAGAATAAGTAAATCTCTATTTCAACATATGTTAAACAGTCATATGACATACAATCAGTGTTTAATCTTCTGGAATGTGCAGTATTAGATCCATTTCTGAGAGGAACATTTCGGTGGTATAGCAACAGTGTTATATTTCACAGTCTCATAACAATATATTTATTCATATTTCACCTTAAGACAACAAATCAATCCATAGTTCACTATAACACAACAATAAATTAATTTATTTTCACTATTACATAACAATAAATCAATTAATAGTTCACTATAACACAACGATACATTAATTCATAGTTCACTATAACACAACAATACATACATTCATATTTCAACATTACACGACAATAAATTAATTCATATTTCACCATTACACAACAATAAATTAATTTATTTTCACTATTACATAACAATAAATCAATTAATAGTTCACTATAACACAACGATACATTAGTTCATAGTTCACTATAACACAACGATACATTAACTCATAGTTCACTATAACAAAACAATACATACATTCATATTTAAGCATTAAACGATAATAAATTAATTCATATTTTAAAATTACACAATAATAAATTAATTCATATCTCAACATCACACAACAATAAATTAATTCATATTTCAAAATTACACAATAATAAATTAATTCATATTTCAAAATTACACAAAAATGTGTGTCAGCGAAGTAATAAGCGAAAATGTCATGATATTTTGTTTGTTAATACGGGTGTATATATATTATGAAAATTAATAAAAAAAAAAGTAGATTTTATTCCGTGCATATTTATATCATTTCAACCTAAATTCACCTCTTTCTCATCTCAAATTTACATTTTCATAGCAAAGACCTATTGCACTTGCTGGGGATCGAATTTCTCGACAAATAAAAATAAATGTAATCTCGTATAAATAAAATGAATTTCATCAACTCGACCCCTGACCTCCCACCTCTTCTTCATAAGACGTTGTCGTGGTGTTGATCCTGTATACGTAGAGGGTGGGCCGCGAGGACCAATGGTCGAAGAGTACGTCACCATACAACACTGGAGTAATCATGTTGTTCTGTGAATACAGGTTGATGTTATAGTGTTAGAGATGACGCGAAACTCACACAAAATGAAACTTTTGTGCAGAAGAAATTTGCTTCTTGAGGGACGGTGGAGTTTGTGCTAGGAGTTTTTTTCAAGCTTTGCATATAATTCACTTCCATCCTAGTTATACTCAAACGCATTTATTAGTTCTGAGGAAATTAACGTCAACCACCATGCAAAACAAATGGACTTTCCGTTTTGGTAAACCCACTCTGAAACCCCCTATTTAGTGGCCAGCATGTTTAAACTCGGAAGAGATAATTTTGGTACCACAGCTGTGAACAACTTACACCAATGTATATTAGTAGTTATACAAAATTTATTATGCAGATAAACTCAAAAGTTGACAAACGATTATATGCGAGGTGATTTCAGATAATAATTCAACTACTATACGTTCCCAGAGGTTGCTACAGTTCTTGATTATAAACCAGGCTTCATTTATGTTTTGTGAACACAAAACAATTGCAAAACCCTTAGTTTTTGATCTTCAGCCCAACGTCTTATTAAAATCTGAAGCAAGCGAAGTTTGGCTATAATTAGTTTATTTTCAGGATAGCTATGTTAAAATGATAAATAAACAGGAGTTGCTTCTACCTACCTAAATTAATCTAAAAAATGAGACAATGTGTCAGCCATGTCTTTTTTCAGCGTGTTTTAACGAGGATGATAAAAGATGTGCAAGTTCTGGATTTGATGGAAGTTACAGTAAGGATGACAAACAATGTGCAAGAAAACTTCCTTTTTTGTCAGGGTTTCATGCACTTCATTTGTGTTGGCGACACCACGATACTTTTTACTGTCTTGTATTGATCTTAATTTGAGGTAAACACTATGTAGTTGTTTCTATGTTATTGATAACACCCTCATCCTATGTCACTGTACTTCTTCTTTTATCGTAATGTATCATGTTAAGGTAATAAACAACAAACAACAAAAACAAAAATTCTGTAACAACTTTATTTCAACACTCTTTAATTCCTGTTCTTAAAAATATGGTTATTTTATCAAAGAATGGAATGAAAGCATCAATTAGTTCTCTGCAGAAGTGTTATAGTAGATTTAGAGATAATTGTCAGATATCATTAACTCATTCGTTTGAAACTAAAATTACTTAATGAGCAGAAGTCCAATCAACAGTTGACATATTGCTTCAACACAAAGTCGAGCTATTAGTCTATTACCAATGATTACAAATGCTAAATGTAGAGAACTAATAATTTCTTGAAAAAATATATTTCATTGTTAAGAAGATTGGAATTGATTTATTAATGATAAATAATATGTTATGCAGAATTGATTCCGTTAATGGCACAGAATCGGCACGTAGAGATGTTTCCGTTATTGCATAGAATCCCGTTATATAAATTTTTCTGCTCTTGAATGTAAAATTCGAATTTTGAACCTCCTACAAGTGTTTATAAATAATAAGCGTAATATAACAAACATTTGAATTCATTTGAATAATTCGATGAATATGATCTCCTCGAAGATTACATTTCTGCAATTTTAATTAAAGGTATAAAGTTAAAAGTGATATATATGAACACGTAAAAAGTCAATCTCCTTATACACTGTCTAAATAAATAGTTTGATTATCATACATAAACTATTTCTATTACTATATTTTGTTGACAATGTTTTGATAAACACTTTCTCTTCCTATGTTTAGAATCTGCAATTCATTATTTCAATGCATATTTAAAAGTTACATATAACATTCAATTTAGACTGTCTTGATTTCTGAAATTGTCATACATATTACATAACACTTATAATTCAGAATTATCAACCATTCGGAAACAAGTACAACATATCTATTCCGTCTTTTCATATTGCAGTGTTATCTGCTTTTGTGAGCAGGTATTGATTGTTACGTCATTAGTTTGTGAGAGAAAATTACGTCGTTTTCTCAAAAAATGATGACGTTACTCTCACAAACAAATGACGTAACAATCAATAACTGCTATCAAGAGCAGATAACTCTGCAATACGAAAAGACGGAATACAATGTCAATACAATTGTTAATAGATTGTGCCATAGCAGATAAAGTAACCATTAAACACAATGAACACAAGTTATATTACATATTCATAAATAAGGTAATGCATAGAATGATTATAATAGTTGCTAATGTAACAATGATCAATGAATAGAGACAGCAGCTGACGTCTTGGGTTGATATACGTTAGTATACATGTAATAGGTGTTTGTGCATGCACATAAGTATATGTTATCCCTATTAATAAATAAACTGTATACATATTGTACAATAAATTACCCGCATTATTTGTGTACGTACACGCATACACTTAAATGCACACAAAACACTCATGCAAATATAACAAAATGTAACCATTTTTGATTAAATCGCTTGCTCTGCATAAACATTTTGCAAAAAAGTAGAAAAAAGGATACTAGCCAAAGGATACTAGCCAGCTGCTTTTTGCAAGTCCATATCACCATAAAACATATTTGATTGGAACGTTGTGACATAGCCTGAAAAACAAATACATCTTTTATGATGTAAATAATTATTCGTCGGGCCGTCCGGTAAATAAAGAACATTCAGGCCAATGTTTGCCGCTGCTGTTTCTATTTGAACATTGTCGATATAAATAGTGGGCATTACCTTTACTGTATATAGAAATACATTCAATATTTTGAGAGTTTAAGTAAACAAGTCAAAGATTACACCATAAAGAGTTTTCTGGTTCGATGTTTTAGAGCATAGCAGATGTAGGTGCATTTTAAACAATGACAGAAAGGTTGCCATCATCAGCAAACAATTTCATTATTGTTAAATATGAATTATAATATCATTTCTTTAATCACAAAACAGCAATGGTCCTAAACTTTATCCTAGAGTATCTGCAGTCTATAGCATCAATATCGGAATGAACGTCATTTGTTACATTTGTTTTCTGTGAGGTGGTTAAGTATAAACCCTGTATACCTTGTTTATCCAGTTTGTACAATGTTTCTACATGCCAGACCCAATCGCACGCCCTGTTGGTATCACAGAAAATTACCACAACATTTACATCAAATAATAAATAAATAAATCGTATTTGGTGTACTGGTATATTATATCCTCATGACATTCATGCTGAAATATCACCAACTTTGCCATTGCATCAGTAAACATGTAAATCAATAAGAAAATACATTCAACCTGAGTAAGTACATAAACGTTTCTATATACTCACTTTTCATAAACTTCTACACATATTCTCATACCATTTCTCGACTCAGCGTACATATCTCCTCCCATATCATACACTCATCAAACTCACTAAATAAAAAATATGAATTTCTCTGTGGACAAATTCTCATCAACTGGACCGCTAACCTCCGACCTCTTCTTCATCAGAGGTTGCTGTGGTGTTGATCCTGTATACATAGAGTGTCGAGGAAGACTTTTCGTCAAAATGTTCGTCGCCATACAACACTGGTGTTATCATATTGTTCTGAAACATAAAAGATGTACATTATGAAACATCGGGTTACCTCAACAATTATGGTTTAGTTTGACTCATTTGTGTGTACTTTTATTTTATAAATGCGGTTTGAGGTTACAATTTACTTGTAGGCCTTGAGCTGCCAGCACCAAATATATATATATATATATATATATACATATATAACTTCATATTAAAAAGTAAAATCTTGTCCATGCATACATTTTGTAATTATTTCAATAGTAAATCACAATCCGCACTTGCATTCTGTATAAAACTGATCGTTTATTAGAAAAAAGGAAAGGTATGATAGGATAGATTTCAGAGGAAAAGGAACAGGAGGGTAAAATAAATATGTAAGTGTGCAAATACAAAAAAGATAGAACAAGAAAGAAAATAGGTAAAAGTTCCTTGTTACTACCAACTTCCAACAATGAGTACGTGACATTGCTATGATTGACCTAGATTTACAATGTGAGTGTCGTCAATGAAGCAGAGAACGCTTACCGTTCCGGAACATCTGGTCTTTTTTCTCCTCCTACATTTTCAAACGTCTTCGTGTGGATCCTTTGTTCATTTTGTTCACCAAATTCATCGGATTTCAATTTAAATAACCTTTATTCTTACACTTTGGTACTCTCTTGTTTTATTGAGTGGATAAATAAAGAAGAAGGAAATAAAAGAGAATGACTGAAAAGAACATAGAAACGAGTGTTGTGATTAACATTATGCTTCCTTAATGTGTTAACGTGTTGAATACTAGAAGCCAACAGGTTATATCAATGAATTATAGGTGCAAGAAATGCATGATTGGTGGTTCATACATCAAACTTGTGGATCAACATACACTAATGAAAATGATACATTTTGTTTTATACATGTAGTTGTATATGTAACCAAGAAAACATAATTTATGATGGACGACAAGTTTTCCAGGGCTCAAAGAGAAAAGTACCACCCTGACTATAACATCGTCACGACCTCCTAAACAGGAGTTTCGATATCACAATGGTCCCCAGTCCGATAATTTGTTCCTTAATTTCACGACGAATATATTAGATGTCTCCCTAAAGGCTACATTTATCGGTAAATCAGTCTGCATGAGTTTTTGAGACTGGTCACGTGTATAGGATCTGGCCTATGGAATTGCGAAAAATTATTTAGTTTATAATAAATATCATTAAGATATGACTGGGGATGCTTCCTCTGTCCTTAACTGTGCATATTTAATTTCTAGCATAAACTACACTCTTTTGTTCAGTATGATTTTTCTATCTAGCCAATCTGTATGAATGGGAAATTTAAATACAATTTGGAAGATGATACATGTACCTTTCCATACAAGTATGCAAAATAGCATTGTTTATCTCCATATTTATTTTTAGGTTAAATAATTCTACTGATCATTATGCAGATCTTTACAATCTTGGTGCATGGTGTTCCTTAATTATCTTATATAACGGGGAAAATCAGAAAAAAGACATGTAATATAATTACGTTAGGTATCATGATCATACGATGACCTAATGATGTTACCCCACATTGTTGTATTATTTCTACTTTTTTCATTTTTTTTTCTCCTAATTGTTCAAAATTTGATAGTTTATAAAAGTATTTTCTTGCATATTTTGTACATTTTCTAGCCTCGTCTGTCAATACACCAATATATATATTAGATGTATTGACGGACGAGCCTAGTACTTAAGATGAGTATGGTATTGTTATCTCTTGTATTTCACCCTTCACAGGGCTCTTCAGGTTTATTCAAAATAACAACGTCGTGACGTCACAATTACATGTCATCACACTACAATAGTAACGTGACGTCACGAAGTACACAAGATTGGTGGACAATTTGGCGTAAAATTTTATTGTGGCCTGTTGAGACTCGGTTTTAATATTTTTATTAGTTGGTCTTCTTTCGTTTCTCTTAAAATAGTGTCTGATGAAAATAGTTGATACAAAGGTAATACATTAAATTTATCTCCAGCACATTCATGAATATGTTTGTTAACATGAAGATTTCGTAAAGAATCAGTTCTAGTTTGTTGTCTATGTACAGTCATACGTGTTCTGAGTTCATTACCGGTAATGAACTCAGAACACGTATGACTGTACACATTTGCAACGACGTGGTATGATAACTTGTATCCCTAAAGAAGGTAAATCTAAAGTATATATGAAGAACTGGAGACCTACAACGCTTTTAAATGTGGATTATAAAACAAACATATTCATGAATGTGCTGGAGATAAATTTAATGTATTACCTTTGTATCAACTATTTTCATCAGACACTATTTTAAGAGAAACGAAAGAAGACCAACTAATCAAAATATTAAAACCAAGTCTCAACAGGCCACAGTAAAATTTTACGCCAAATTGTCCACCAATCTTGTGTACACGTGACGTCACGTTACTATTGTAGTGTGATGACATGTAATTGTGACGTCACGACGTTGTTCTTTTGAATAAACCTGAAGAGCCCTGTGAAGGGTGAAAGCAGCTAGTTTTTTAGTCGGTCGTTAATCTTATTTTTTTCTATATTTACTTCCTTCACATGGACATTTAATCCGTTTTTTTATTATATATATATATATATATATTAATATAAATAGAGCATACTGGGTATACAGTGACAGGTGATATACTAATATAAATAGAGCATATACTGGTTATAGAGGGAAAGATGATATACGGACATTACAGGAGCATACTGATTAAAAAGAGCATTCAATTAAATATAGCATACTGGTTACAGAGTTAGGGATGCTACATAGACCATACTGGTTATGCAGTTAGGGATGCTACATTTATAGTAGTAGACCATACTGGTTATGCAGTTAGGGATGCTACATTTATAGTAGTAGACCATACTGGTTATAGAGTTAGGGATGCTACTTTAATAGTAGTAGACCATACTGGTTATAGAGTTAGGGATGCTACTTTAATAGTAGTAGACCATACTGGTTATAGAGTTAGGGATGCTACTTTAATAGTAGTAGACCATACTGGTTATAGAGTTAGGGATGCTACTTTAATAGTAGTAGACCATACTAGTTATGCAGTTAGGGATGCTACATTTATAGTAGTAGACCATACTGGTTATAGAGTTAGGGATGCTACTTTAATAGTAGTAGACCATACTGGTTATAGAGTTAGGGATGCTACTTTAATAGTAGTAGACCATACTGGTTATAGAGTTAGGGATGCTACTTTAATAGTAGTAGACCATACTGGTTATAGAGTTAGGGATGCTACTTTAATAGTAGTAGACCATACTGGTTATAGAGTTAGGGATGCTACTTTAATAGTAGTAGACCATACTGGTTATAGAGTTAGGGATGCTACTTTAATAGTAGTAGACCATACTGGTTATAGAGTTAGGGATGCTACTTTAATAGTAGTAGACCATACTGGTTATAGAGTTAGGGATGCTACATTTATAGTAGTAGACCATACTGGTTATAGAGTTAGGGATGCTACATTTATAGTAGTAGACCATACTGGTTATAGAGTTAGGGATGCTACTTTAATAGTAGTAGACCATACTGGTTATAGAGTTAGGGATGCTACATTTATAGTAGTAGACCATACTGGTTATAGAGTTAGGGATGCTACATTTATAGTAGTAGACCATACTGGTTATAGAGTTAGGGATGCTACTTTAATAGTAGTAGACCATACTGGTTATAGAGTTAGGGATGCTACATTTATAGTAGTAGACCATACTGGTTATAGAGTTAGGGATGCTACATTTATAGTAGTAGACCATACTGGTTATAGAGTTAGGGATGCTACTTTAATAGTAGTAGACCATACTGGTTATAGAGTTAGGGATGCTACATTTATAGTAGTAGACCATACTGGTTATAGAGTTAGGGATGCTACATTTATAGTAGTAGACCATACTGGTTATAGAGTTAGGGATGCTACTTTAATAGTAGTAGACCATACTGGTTATAGAGTTAGGGATGCTACTTTAATAGTAGTAGACCATACTGGTTATAGAGTTAGGGATGCTACATTTATAGTAGTAGACCATACTGGTTATAGAGTTAGGGATGCTACTTTAATAGTAGTAGACCATACTGGTTATAGAGTTAGGGATGCTACTTTAATAGTAGTAGACCATACTGGTTATAGAGTTAGGGATGCTACATTTATAGTAGTAGACCATACTGGTTGGGGATGCTACATTAATAGTAGTAGACCATACTGGTTATAGAGTTAGGGATGCTACATTTATAGTAGTAGACCATACTGGACATGAGGAGAACGCTGGAGGCTGTATGAGGACATGAGAACACTGGAGGCTATATAAAAGACATGAGGAGAACACTGGAGGCTGTATGAGGACATGAGGAGAACACTAGTACTGGAAGCTGTATGAGGACATGAGAACACTGGAGGCTGTATGAGGACATGAGAACACTGGAGGCTGTATGAGGACATGAGAACACTGGAGGCTGTATGAGGACATGAGAACACTGGAGGCTATATAAAAGACATGAGGAGAACACTGGAGGCTGTATGAGGAAGGTGGATCATTTATCATCACAGAAACATATTTCTTGGTGAATAAACTTTAACTACACTGTACAGATGAAAACAAATCTAGCCCTTTGCTCATCCATGTATTGACCTTGATAATCCCAATGTTTTCCCATTAGCTAGTCAAGGCTGGATAAGTCATCATATGTTAAACGTCACAGCCTAGATGATATCATCAATAAATTAATCATACAATTATATGTTAGTACATGATTATGTACCAGGTGAATTATTCACATAAGTTTGGAAAAAATATCAATTTATGGTAACCATCAGTTATTCAATACGTACCAGATTTTTTGCTTTCAGAATAGCAGCGTTATAGCCCATTTTCACTTTGTATCCATCAGCTTCAGCGGTAAAGTTGGCCTGGAATCATAATTGAATAAATCTGTCTTCGTTCTTTATTGTGATCTTAAACTTCATCCTTTCAACACGTACAGAACAATTATATGTTTTAGTGGAATCAACGTTCTCTGTTGAGACATTTTCGAACATGAAGAGATATAACAAGTAGAGATAGAACATGAAGAGATAGAACAAGTAGAGACAGAACAAGTAGAGATAGAACATGAAGAGATAGAACATGTAGAGATAGAACAAGTAGAGATAGAACATGTAGAGATAGAACATGTAGAGATAGAACACATAGAACATGAAGAGATATAACAAGTAGGGATAGAACATGAAGAGATAGAACAAGTAGAGAAAGAACAAGTAGAGATAGAACATGAAGAGATAGAACAAGTAGGGATAGAACATGTAGAGATAGAACACATAGAACATGAAGAGATAGAACATGTGGAGATAGAACAAGTAGAGAAAGAACATGTAGAGATAGAACAAGTAGAGATAGAACATGTAGAGATAGAACACATAGAACATGTAGAGGTAGAACATGTAGAGATAGAACATGTAGAGAAAGAACATGTAGATATAGAACATGAAGAGATAGAACAAGTAGGGATAGAACATGTAGAGATAGAACACATAGAACATGTAGAGATAGAACAAGTAGAGATAGAACATGTAGAGATAGAACAAGTAAAGATAGAACATGTGGAGATAGAACAAGTAGAGATAGAACATGCAGAGATAGAACTTGTAGAGATAGAACAAGTAGAGATAGAACACATAGAACATGTGGAGATAGAACAAGTAGAGATAGAACAAGTAGAGATAGAACATGTAGAGATAGAACAAGTAGAGATAAAACCTGTTGATATAGAACAAGTAGAGATAGAACATGCAGAGATAGAACACATAGAACATGTAGAGATAGAACATGTAGTGATAGAACTTGTAGAGATAGAACACATAGCACATGTAGAGATAGAACAAGTAGAGATAAAACCTGTTGAGATAGAACAAGTAGAGATAGAACATGTAGAGATAGAACAAGTAGAAATAGAACAAGTGGAGATAGAACACATATAACATGAAGAGATAGAACACATAGAACAAGTAGAGATAGAACATGTAGAGATAGAACATGTAGAGATAGAACATGTAGAGATAGAACATGTAGAGATAGAACTTGTAGAGATAGAACACATAGCACATGTAGAGATAGAACAAGTAGAGATAGAACATGTAGAGATAGAACAAGTAGAGATAGAACATGTAGAGATAGAACAAGTAGAAATAGAACAAGTGGAGATAGAACATGTAGAGATAGAACATGTAGAGATAGAACATGTAGAGATAGAACATGTAGAGATAGAACATGTAGAGATAGAACATGTAGAGATAGAACATGTAGAGATAGAACATGTAGAGATAGAACATGTAGAGATAGAACATGTAGAGATAGAACATGTAGAGATAGAACATGTAGAGATAGAACATGTAGAGATAGAACATGTAGAGATAGAACATGTAGAGATAGAACATGTAGAGATAGAACATGTAGAGATAGAACATGTAGAGATAGAACATGTAGAGATAGAACATGTAGAGATAGAACATGTAGAGATAGAACATGTAGAGATAGAACATGTAGAGATAGAACATGTAGAGATAGAACATGTAGAGATAGAACACGTAGAGATAGAACACATAGCACATGTAGAGATAGAACAAGTAGAGATAGAACATGTAGAGATAGAACAAGTAGAGATAGAACATGTAGAGATAGAACAAGTAGAGATAGAACAAGTGGAGATAGAACATGTAGAGATAGAACATGTAGAGATAGAACAAGTAGAGATAGAACATGTAGAGATAGAACAAGTAGAGATAGAACATGTAGAGATAGAACATGTAGAGATAGAACACATAGAACATGTAGAGATAGAACAAGTAGAGATAGAACAAGTAGAGATAGAACATGTAGAGATAGAACAAGTAGAGATAGAACATGTAGAGATAGAACATGTAGAGATAGAACATGTAGAGATAGAACATGTAGAGATAGAACATGTAGAGATAGAACATGTAGAGATAGAACATGTAGAGATAGAACATGTAGAGATAGAACATGTAGAGATAGAACACATAGAACATGTAGAGATAGAACAAGTAGAGATAGAACAAGTAGAGATAGAACATGTAGAGATAGAACAAGTAGAGATAGAACATGTAGAGATAGAACAAGTAGAGATAGAACATGTAGAGATAGAACAAGTAGAGATAGAACATGTAGAGATAGAACAAGTAGAGATAGAACATGTAGAGATAGAACAAGTAGAGATAGAACATGTAGAGATAGAACAAGTAGAGATAGAACATGTAGAGATAGAACATGTAGAGATAGAACATGTAGAGATAGAACATGTAGAGATAGAACACATAGAACATGTAGAGATAGAACAAGTAGAGATAGAACAAGTAGAGATAGAACATGTAGAGATAGAACAAGTAGAGATAGAACATGTAGAGATAGAACATGTAGAGATAGAACACATAGAACATGTAGAGATAGAACAAGTAGAGATAGAACAAGTAGAGATAGAACATGTAGAGATAGAACAAGTAGAGATAGAACATGTAGAGATAGAACATGTAGAGATAGAACACATAGAACATGTAGAGATAGAACAAGTAGAGATAGAACAAGTAGAGATAGAACATGTAGAGATAGAACAAGTAGAGATAGAACATGTAGAGATAGAACATGTAGAGATAGAACATGTAGAGATAGAACATGTAGAGATAGAACACATAGAACATGTAGAGATAGAACAAGTAGAGATAGAACAAGTAGAGATAGAACATGTAGAGATAGAACAAGTAGAGATAGAACATGTAGAGATAGAACATGTAGAGATAGAACAAGTAGAGATAGAACATGTAGAGATAGAACACATAGAACATGTAGAGATAGAACAAGTAGAGATAGAACAAGTAGAGATAGAACATGTAGAGATAGAACAAGTAGAGATAGAACATGTAGACATAGAACATGTAGAGATAGAACACATAGAACATGTAGAGATAGAACACATAGAACATGTAGAGATAGAACAAGCAGAGATAGAACAAGTAGAGATAGAACATGTGGAGACAGAACAAGTAGAGATAGAACATGTAGAGATAGAACAAGTGGAGATAGAACATGCAGAGATAGAACATGTAGAGATAGAACATGTAGAGATAGAACAAGTGGAGATAGAACATGCAGAGATAGAACAAGTAGAGATAGAACAAGTAGAGATAGAACATGCAGAGATAGAACAAGTAGAGATAGAACAAGTAGAGATAGAACACATATAACATGTAGAGATAGAACAAGTAGAGATAGAACAAGTGGAGATAGAACCTGTAGAGATAGAACATGTAGAGATAGAACAAATGGAGATAGAACCTGTAGAGATAGAACAAGTAGAGATAGAACATGTAGAGATAGAACATGTAGAGATAGAACAAGTAGAGATAGAACATGCAGAGATAGAACATGTACCTAGCGAAAATTGCTTCTTGCAGTATCGTCATGTTTACGTGAACAATTGTGATTTCAAGATTGTTGGGTATTTTGTAGTATTTCCTTACTAGAAATGTTAGCTGCCTTGTTGAATTTGTGGATCCTAAGGTGTCTTTAAAAACAAGAAAATTATCTAAAATGGAGTATGAAATGAAATGCTGTGTGATGATCTGCTATGGCATAAGCTGAATTGGCTTGATGGCCAAGGGAATTAAATGAACAGACACACAAATCAAGTCGAAATATGTTTTTATTAAATGCTACTTAATTATGCAGGACTGGTGTAATTCCTTATTCATGTTATTTTATAGAACATTTCTCTCACTTAACAACCATATTTTTCTTAGTACAGGACTGGAGTAGGACATATGTCCCACATTTGAAGTAAACAACATTTCTGTGACTTACCATTGTTTGTGGGCAGGGATAGAACAGGTCACATTTGGGCGTGGAGGTTGCATTTCCTCTCGGAAAGTACTTTCCTCCATAGTACACATACAGCTTGCCATCATAATCTGCAGAAACAATCAAAGGCCATATTCATGTCAAAATCCGAACCCAAATATCGATCACAAATATTATTAGATAAATCATATGTCACTACTGCAAATAGTATACTATACTGCAATTCAGCAATCCTTGTCTAAAAATATTCAGATCAAACATAGTAATTCAATATTACACTCTTCGTTGGTAACCTACATAACTGTGCAGGATTGGGAAAATAATAAACTTGCTGTTTCCCCCTGTATCATCATACAAGGTGACTTACGTGGGAGACCCATGCAGAATAGAGAGGTTTCTTCTGTATCATTCAGCTTGGTAGATATTGAAGAAGACAAAATTGGTATGCTGCACTGACTACACTTAGTCTAGTCAGCTTCATCTATTCATTTCATTTCTACCATTTTTACAATGCTTTACACCTCTCTTAATTGCCCCAGCTTTTATTAATGCATTGTCCGAAAAACAAAAACTTGTAAGTTCCTTGTATGATACATTCAATCATCCTTAATCCAGCAACCACTTACATGTATATAGTAATATGGTTCTATCAAGCGAGTATTTTGGGGACAGATTTCTATTTTTCTATTTAAAATCATCTCGAATTATTCAGCTGTTTCAAATTCCATACATATCTGTTAACTGCAAATGAATGTAAAAGAAAGAACAAGACTTGGCTTCGAATTACATTAATAAGTAACACACTTGTTTCAGAATCACAGTTAAATCCATGAAAGCAAATCAACCGATTACTAGTTCTGTGATAGGTAGTGGGGAGTAGGTGCATGTAGAGATAGAACATGTAGTGATAGAACTTGTAGACTGGGTGTTAATTAGTTCTATGGTAGGTGGTGGGGAGTAGGTGACTGGGTGTTAACTAGTTCTGTGATAAGTGGTGGGGAGTAGATGACTGGATGTTAACTAGTTCTGTGATAGGTGGTGGGGAGTAGGTGACTGGGTGTTAATTAGTTCTATGGTAGGTGGTGGGGAGTAGGTGACTCGGTGTTAACTAGTTCTGTGATAGGTGGTGGGGAGTAGATGACTGGGCATTAACTAGTTCTGTGATAGGTGGTGAGGAGTAGGTGACTGGGTGTTAACTAGGGTGGTGGGGAGTAGGTGACTTGGTGTTAACTAGTTCTGTGAGAGGTGGTGGGGAGTAGGTGACTGGGTGTTAAATAGTTCTGTGATAGGTGGTGGGGAGTAGGTGAGTGTGTGTTAACTAATTCTGATAGGTGGTGGGGAGTAGGGGACTGGGTGTTAACTAGTTCTGTGATAGGTGGTTGGGAGTAGGTGCCTGGGTGTTTACTAGTTCTGTGATAGGTGGTGGGGAGTAGATGACTGGGCATTAACTAGTTCTGTGATAGGTGGGGGGGAGTAGGTGACTGGGTGTTAATTAGTTCTGTGGTAGGTGGTGGGGAGTAGGTGACTGGGTGTTAAATAGTTCTGTGATAGGTGGTGGGGAGTAGGTGACTTGGTGTTAACTAGTTCTGTGAGAGGTGGTGGGGAGTAGGTGACTGGGTGTTAAATAGTTCTGTGATAGGTGGTGGGGAGTAGGTGACAGGGTGTTAACTAGTTCTGTGAGAGGTGGTTGGGGAGTAGGTGACTCGGTGTTAACTAGTTCTGTGATAGGTGGTGGTGAGTAGATGACTGGGCATTAACTAGTTCTGTGTTAGGTGGTGAGGAGTAGGTGACTGGGTGTTAACTAGTCCTGTGATAGGTGGTGGGGAGTAGGTGACTGGGGGTTAACTAGTTCTGTGATAAGTGGTGGGGAGTAGATGACTGGGTGTTAACTAGTTCTGTGATAGGTGGTTGGGAGTAGGTGCCTGGGTGTTTACTAGTTCTGTGATAGGTGGTCACAGTTAAATCCATGAAAGCAAATCAACCGATTACTAGTTCTGTGATAGGTAGTGGGGAGTAGGTGACTGGGTTTTAACTAATTCTGGTAGGTGGTGGGGAGTAGGTGACTGGGTGTTAAATAGTTCTATGGTAGGTGGTGGGGAGTAGGTGACTCGGGGTTAACTAGTTCTGGGATAGGTGGTGGGGAGTAGGTGACTGGGTGTGAACTAGTTCTGTGATAGGTGGTGGGGAGTAGGTGCCTGGGTGTTAACTAGTTCTGTGAGAGGTGGTGGGGAGTAGGTGACTGGGTGTTAAATAGTTCTGTGATAGGTGGTGGGGAGTAGGTGTGTGGGTGTTAACTAATTCTGATAGGTGGTGGGGAGCAGGTGACTGGGTGTTAACTAGTTCTGTGATAGGGGGTGGGGAGTAGGTGAGTGGGTGTTAACTAATTCTGATAGGTGGTGGGAAGTAGGTGACTGGGTGTTAACTAGTTCTGTGATAGGGGGTGGGGAGTAGGTGACTGTGTGTTAACTAATTGTGATAGGTGGTGGGGAGTAGGTGACTGGGTGTTAGCTAATTCTGATAGGTGGTGGGGAGTAGGTGACAGGGTGTTAACTAGTTATGTGAGAGGTGGTTGGGAGTAGGTGACTGGGTGTTAACTAGTTCTGTGATAGGTGGTGGGGAGTAGATGACTGGGGGTTAACTAGTTCTATGATAGGTGGTGTGGAGTAGGTGACTGGGCGTTGACTAGTTCTGTGATAGGTGGTGTAACTGGGTGTTAACTAGTTCTGTGATAGGTGGGGGGGAGTAGATGACTGGGTGTTAACTAGTTCTATGATAGGTGGTGTGGAGTAGGTGACTGGGTGTTGACTAGTTCTGTGATAGGTGGTGTAGAGTAGGTTACTGGGTGTTAACTAGTTCTGTGAGAGGTGGTGGGGAGTAGGTGACTGGGTGTTAACTAGTTCTGTGATAGGTGGTGAGGAGTAGGTGACTGGGTGTTAACTAGTTCTGTGATAGGTGGTGTAGAGTAGGTGACTGGGTGTTAACTAGTTCTGTGAGAGGTGGTGGGGGGTAGGTGACTGGGTGTTAACTAGTTCTGTGATAGGGGGTGGGGAGTAGGTGACAGGGTGTTGACTAGTTCTATGGTAGGTGATGGGGAGTAGGTGACTGGGTGTTAACTAGTTCTATGATAGGTGGTGGGGAGTAGGTGACAGGGTGTTGACTAGTTCTATGGTAGGTGGTGGGGAGTAGGTGACTGGGTGTTAACTAATTCTGATAGGTGGTGGGGACTAGGTGACTCGGTGTTAGGTGGTGGGGAGGAGATGACTTGGGGTTAACTAGGTCTGTGATAGGTGGTGAGGAGTAGGTGACTGGGTGTTAACTAATTCTGATAGGTGGTGGGGACTAGGTGACTCGGTGTTAGGTGGTGGGGAGTAGATGACTTGGGGTTAACTAGGTCTGTGATAGGTGGTGAGGAGTAGGTGACTGGGTGTTAACTAGTTCTGTGATAGGTGGTGGGGAGCAGGTGAATTGGGGTTAACTAGTTCTGTGAGAGGTGGTTGGGAGTAGGTGACTTGGGGTTAACTAGTTCTGTGATAGGTGGTGGGGAGTAGGGGACTGGGTGTTAACTAGTTCTGTGATAGGTGGTGGGGAGCAGGTGAATTGGGGTTAACTAGTTCTGTGATAGGTGGTGGGGAGTAGGTGACAGGGTGTTAACTAGTTCTGTGATAGGTGGTGGGGAGTAGGGGACTGGGTGTTAACTAGTTCTGTGATAGGTGGTGAGGAGTAGGCGACTGGGTGTTAACTAGTTCTGTGATAGGTGGTGGGGGGTAGGGGACTGGGTGTTAACTAGTTCTGTGATAGGTGGTGGTGAGTAGGTGACTGGGTGTTAACTAGCTCTGTGATAGGTGGTGGGGAGTAGGTGACTGGGGGTTAACTAGTTCTGTGATAGGTGGTGAGGAGTAGGCGACTGGGTGTTAACTAGTTCTGTGATAGGTGGTGTAGAGTAGGTGACTGGGTGTTAACTAGTTCTGTGATAAGTGGTGGGGAGTAGATGACTGGATGTTAACTAGTTCTGTGATAGGTGGTGGGGAGTAGATGACTTGGGGTTAACTAGGTCTGTGATAGGTGGTGAGGAGTAGGTGTCTGGGTGTTAACTAGTTCTGTGATAGGTGGTGGTGAGTAGGTGACTGGGTGTTAACTAGTTCTGTGATAACTGGTGGGGAGTAGATGACTGGATGTTAACTAGTTCTGTGATAGGTGGTGGGGAGTCGGTGACTGGGTGTTAACTAATTCTGATAGGTGGTGGGGAGTAGGTGACTGGGTGTTAACTAATTCTGATAGGTGGTGGGGACTAGGTGACTCGGTGTTAGGTGGTGGGGAGTAGATGACTTGGGGCTAACTAGGTCTGTGATAGGTGGTGAGGAGTAGGTGACTGGGTGTTAACTAGTTCTGTGATAGTTGGTGGGGAATAGGTGACTGGATGTTAACTAGTTCTGTGAAAGTTGGGTGGGAGTAGATGACTGGGTGCTACTATGTGTTTACCAACCTTCTGAGAACCAGCGAGGTACAATATCGGTTGCATCATAATTGCGCCTTGGTGCTCCAATCATCAGATCATCTATACCATCAGCATTTACATCCTCAAACTGTACAAAAATATAATCATTAAACAATGTCTTCAAGTAAAATATTATGCTGCTCTTTAAAAACTTTATTATGAATTTAGAGAAAAATCCTCAATCTATCTTCAATTTAATTATTCAATTACATATTCTGAATATTTAAAGAATTGCAGGTTCTGACTTTAACAAAATAGTTATATTAAACTTGTACATGACAGGTTATTTAAATCTGTTAACTAAATAATGAACTGCATAACGTGAAAATAAACTTTACATTTTTTTTTTGGAAAATAGGCAAACACATTTCTTTGGTATAGATCACTTATAATCCTATTGAATCATGACTAGTTTATAGAAATAGCTACCGATATACCTTGACATAGATGCCGAACCTGCCAAACTGTCTATCGCCCTGGAAGGTGGCGAGAAGTTGGACATTGTTGTTAGTGATGTTATATACAAACACTGCCCCTGCTTGGTGGATGGTGATGGGCACAGTTAGGTACGTCCCAGGGGCATCACGCCCCACCACACCCACAGCCAGGATCAGTGACTTGTTGTCGTAGGGGAAACCGATGTCAGAACTATATCCAGCCAAGTCAAACTGCTGCTCTCCGTGTAAAGTGAGCCCAGAAATGTTGTAGGTTACCCCTAGGTTATACAGGTTTAGTGCCCCGACAGTCTGGAGGTCAGAAGAGGTCAGCTGGCAGTCGGGTCTGAGAAAAAGGGCTAATGTGTAATAAATTTACTATATACACTGCTGATCAAAAAGTCATTAAAATATCACTAAAATGCTATTATTCTGAACTATAATATTATAAAGCACCTTTTCTGGAACATTTTGTAAGAGTTTATCTGCAAAGTGTACACATTTTTTGTGAGTACATGCAAATGTATATATCATTGGCCATTACTTAAATATAGCAACCAACCTTTTCTAATGCTTTACCTGAGAGAAGAAACCATATCTGAAAAGATTCGTTGTATGTAATCCCCATTAAAATACATCTATTTTTAATACTATCAAATCAATAAAGTATGCTGACAGATAACAAAATACACATCTAGTTACTGAACTCCAAAGAAATGTTTCATACTCGGATGAAATAAAAAACGAATTTATCAAAAAAGTCATAGAAACAATAATATTCTGTTTGACAAAAATGCATACAAGGGATAGTTAAAATTTAGTTTATATGGAAGACTGACCGACTACATTTCCTGAAGTAAGGCTGCCCCACCAAGACCAGGCCACTACGCACTCTGATGTTATGACCAAACCAGCTGTATGCCTGTAAAAAGTGTCATTCATAGCTAATAACATTTCCTGCAGCTGTATAACTTCGACATATATATAACCTACAGGTTCAAACAAGGATTGAAATACGCTACAGTGTATATTCTCAACATCCATGGTATAAAACCCCAGTACTTAGTGTAGTGCATATGGGAGGATATGTTTGTCAACAAATGAGTGTTATACAATCGTTAATCTTTAAAATATCTAATAGAAACAACAGAAAAAAATATTTCATCTCTTTGAGTGGATTCTATTGGCTCATGATACGTTTTAAACATTTTTTTTGATAAAATGATGGAACAGCGACTTTTGCAGGAACAAGACATGTCTTCCTTAGTTACAAAGCTGCAAATTGTCAAACATATCACATATATCATCACTATAAACTCATTGATCACAATTCACACACATCACAATTTCAATATGGCACATATATGACCATCACATATCACAAATACTATTAAAAGTCTGATGTCACATCCATCACAAGTTATACATATAATTTTAAAAGTCTTAAGTTCCTCAGCAACCCTAAGTAACTCCAACTGAAGTTTCTGACAACATACCTGTTTATTTTGCAGGTTCCATTTAGAAATTAAAGACTCAAATGTTATCACCATGTGGTCTGAAACAGAACGTATTCATTCCATTATCATAATAGACCTATACATTTCATTCTATTAGAGAAATATTTTTCCTGTCGTTCAGTTAGTTTAAAAGAGAATACAGTAGATCTTATCGGTCAGATATATGATAGAAATCAGATATCAGGGCCAAAAAATGTAGAATATTATGGGATGTCCTCAATGTCAGGTGTCAGTAAAGTTAAGTATCACAAAAAAAGAGAGAAAAGAAATAAGAAAATCCCATTATGTATGATTTTTATCAAACAAGAATCAAAAAGTTTCATAAATATTCTATGGAATGGTGATCGAGTCTGAAGTAGTTTTATTTATTTTTATCACATAATCGGCCTGTTATCCAGTGAATTCGTCCATTTAATATTTTTACATATGTCACTAGTGTAATATACCCTGGAGCGTTTTTCATTGGCTGTGCCAGTCAGAAATCGATTGTAACATCATAATATGGACAATGACGTAATGTCATAAATTGTGTAGATGGCACAACAAAATGGCTGTCTCCGTTTGATTAAGCCCTCTACATTTTGGCTTTAGAACCTGTCAAAATGTAAGTTTTCTGAGTTGTGTGATAAAAAGTTTCTTGATTTTGTTTTCATTTCATATGAGCTTTTATGAAACTCGTCTCAAGTTTTAATTTTTGCTCGCCAAGGCTCGCAAAAATAAAAACTCCTCAGACTCGTTTCATAAAATCTCATATGAAATGAAAACTCATTTAAGAATCTTAACTATATTACATAAACAAACTTAACCAGAAAAAAAGACATATCTTTCTATGAATTGATGATGTCATCACATTAATCTTTGTGATAACAAAAACAGGTCTTATCAAATGTGTTATATCACAAACATTTACAATGGATGTGAAAACGATACCATTTATTGACCATACAAATTAATAGCATATAAAAAATGTTCCAGCAGCCTGGCAGCTGGTTAATCAAAATATATCCCCAGCCAAACCACTGACCAGTGTAAGTAAGACTACTGGACACACCGTACTGACCTCCTTAGTCTGACTAATCAGGAAGAATATACTGACCTGAGTAAGCTTTACTGGAGGGCAGTGCTGACACAATTCCACTCTGATTTGCCACCATCTGATAGTACGGTGTACCTAGCAGTAGATCGTCATGGCCATCCTTGTTAATGTCTCCCGTCGTCATGGTGAACCCAAGGTTACAGTACTGACTCTATACATCGACAAATACAGCAAAGTATTACTGGTTTAATTATAGAATTAAAATGTTGCCTAGAAATTGTCAAATCATGGCTCCTTCATCCAATACTGTCTGAAATAGTTTTACACTTAAAACTTCAACTCGGACTGGCCAAGAAATAGTCACATATAAGTCAATATTTAAGTACATTATAAAAATGATACTATTTTGAGGAACAGAAGGTCAGTATTATCTTCCTGGTGTCACTTAATTTGTAACATGACAATGCTGCTGCTTAATGCACCTAATTAGTACTTTCGTTTTTATTATTTCCTTCTGTTCCATCTTGTGTATATAGCGATAAAAAACAGCGTCATTTCATATTTGATTATCAAATATATATAATCAGATATAACAAATGAGGACTTTGAATTCAATTAAAATGTGGTACTGACCTATTTCTGTCTCAGGTTGTCATAACCACATATTCACCTCAACAGAGGTGTGGAACTGATAAATATATCTCACCTGGCAGGTGATTGTGATGTTTGGCTGATAAAATGCTGCATTGGACCTCAGCTTACCATAGTAGATAAACACTGCCCCCTGTAAGACCATCACAATATACTTATGTTACATGGGTTATAACCCTCAAGACAAGGTAAGCATTTGAAGTATAAATTTCAATTTTTGTTTTCATTTCTATTTTTTTGCAGTTAGTTTATGTTATTTGGTGTAAATGCATTCTTTTCAAGAGGTAAAAAGTGGAAACACCTCTAGTGTAAGTCATTAAACACTCTGAGAAAAAGAGAATGATGACTTTCAATTTCAAGAATTTCCAAGATAACAGTTGTCTTGATATATATATATATATATATAGAAAACCTAGCGCTGAAGCCATACATTGTAGTCGAGTTGACCATGGTTCCTGAAGGCCGGAGCTCCTACTACCACATCTGGTATTCCATCTAGGTTGACATCCACCACTGCCACAGAGGTGCCGAATAGAGACTGAGCCTGGAAATATAATACAGGCATCATATTACATCAGGTTATCAATATAATTTTAAACAATTCCCATATACGTATATACTTCCCTCAATGTGTAACGTTGTGTATTAGTTACCTGAGGACAGCCCCTGTGGGCTGTTCTACATTGTATGTAAGCTAGTTCCTGTGGATCTGTTGCATCATAGTTACTTGCGTATACCCCTCTGGCACTACTGTATAATTAGTTACCTGGGGATAACCCTCTGGCACTACTGTATAATTAGTTACCTGGGGATAACCCTCTGGCACTACTGTATAATTAGTTACCTGGGGATAACCCTCTGGAATTGTTGTATAATTAGCTACCTAGGGACAAACCTCTGGAATTGTTGTATAATTAGTTACCTGGGGACAAACCTCTGGAATTGTTGTATAATTAGCTATCTAGGGACAAACCTCTGGAATTGTTGTATAATTAGCTACCTAGGGACAAACCTCTGGAATTGTTGTATAATTAACTACCTAGGGATAAACCTCTGGAATTGTTGTATAATTAGTTACCTGGGGATAACCCCCTGGAATTGTTGTATAATTAGTTACCTGGGGACAAACCTCTGGAATTGTTGTATAATTAACTACCTAGGACAAACCTCTGGGATTGTTTTATAATTAGTTACCTGGGGATAACCCTCTGGAATTGTTGGATAATTAGTTACCTGGGGATAACCCTCTGGAATTGTTGAATAATTAGTTACCTGGGGATAACCCTCTGGAATTGTTGGATAATTAGTTACCTGGGGATAACCCTCTGGAATTGTTGAATAATTAGTTACCTGGGGATAACCCTCTGGAATTTTTGAACAATTAATTACCTGGGGATAACCCTCTGGAATTGTTGTATAATTAATTACCTGGGGATAACTCTCTGGAATTGTTGAATAATTAGTTACCTGGGGATAACCCTCTGGAATTGTTGAATAATTAGTTACCTGGGGATAACCCTCTGGAATTGTTGAATAATAAGTTACCTGGGGATAACCCTCAGAAACTTTTGTATAATAAGTTACCAGGGGATTACTCTCTTGAACTGTTGTATAATAAGTTACCTGGGGATAACCCTCAGAAACTGTAGTATAATTAGTTACCTGGGGATAACCCTCTGTAACTGTAGTATAGTTATAGTTACCTGGGGATAATCCTCTGTAACTGTAGTATAATTATAGTTACCTGGAGATAATCCTCTGTAACTGTAGTATAATTATAGTTACCTGGGGATAACCCTCTTGAACTGTAGTATAATTATAGTTACCTGGGGATAACCCTCTGGAGCTGTATTATACTTATACTTACCTGGGAATAACCCTCAGGAACTGTAGTATAATTAGTTATCTGGAGACAATCCTCTGGAATTGTTGTATAATAAATTACCTTCCGACCTTCAGACCGAAGTAAATTTATAAATAGATGGCCCTGGGAGACTCTAATATTAGTTACCAACCAATGACCTCGGGGACTGTTACATTTAAGTTACCTCTGCAGGGCCTTTTAATGTACAGTTTGTATGGTTATTCATGTTGAGTAGATAGAAAGCCCCTTGAGCAACAGGTAGTCCATCGTCCGATCCTGCCAAAACAAAACAACACAAATGTTCTTTAGGAAGTCAGACAGTATGGACATGTACTAAGGTAACTAAGTTCATCATCTGACAGGGGTACTATTGAATCAGTAAACCAAATAACTCAAAGTGCATTGAGGTTATATTTATTTTATGAATCTCTACACCCTGTGTTTAATAGGTCTTGGTATGATAAATATCATATAGAGTGGTACGACAGTTTATGGACTGGTCATTCATTGTAAAGGGATATATATATATATATATATATATGATACAAAGAAAAAACCCTGTGGTACAGTCAATAATTAAGCCATCATGGAGACTGAAGTATGTACTATACTACCTAATACATTTTGTTATAAAGCATCTTATAGAGCAAAAATACAAAAATAAGCAATGAAAATGTTAACCAGCTAACATTGATAAGCTGATCATGCATGAGAAAGTTAACCAGCTAACATTGATAAGCTGATCATGCATGAGAATGTTATAATGGGATACAACTCTCGCAGTCTTAACAGAAAACGTTATTTATGATGTCATAATATTCTACGCTTCTGGATTTTTCCCTTGATTTAATCCAGACTGCATTTACTATAAATGTTTCTTCAACCGAATGTAGCCATTTGTTAAGAAATTCATGTATAAAGTGGCTGACAGGTTCTTTATATGACTGTGAACATTTTAATTACTTAAATCAATGGGCTAAATGGCCCCTTGTGGAAGGATGAGCTAACTTGTACATGGATGTGATACCATAAGAAATGTCAACAGAGATGTAAGAAACTATCTTTAATTGCTCAGGCCAGTCTCTGGGTCACCAGCTGCTCACACTTTTTCTGGAAGTCATTAAAATCAAAAACTTTAGAAAAAGAATTAGATTGCAGTATGAGGTATGACACAGAAAGTGAACTGACCATATAAAATGTACACTCTGCCTTGGTCAGGGCTGCCTCCTCCACCGTATCCAGGGGCTCCCACTACCAGGTCATCGTTATGGTCACCGTTCAGGTCACCTACAGCTAGTGACCTACATATACAAAGTACCATGAATACTAGACACCAACCTTCAGCAAAGTGTTATACCCCTTGTTAAAAATTCTGCAGATTTTGTGTAGGGTCGTCTTTTATATATATCATCAGTTTGTCAGAAATGTCGTGTAGATATTTAATGTAGGTACCTAGAAATATGCCAACAGCAGCATATCACAATAACTCATTCCTTACCCAAACTACTCTCTGACATGTCAGCAAAACCGGGCCCTGCTTGTTGCACATGTTTTAAATAGTAGGTGATGTAGTTGACATTATATTATCTGAGGTGAAAGTGTGCAATGTGAAAATAGTTAGGCCTTTAAACTTCATCTGTTACTTGGGTAGTACATCTAATAGGGCTATTCTTTTTTTTTCAACGAGAATGATCTTAGCTTGACCTTGCCTTCACATCCAAAATAATCAGGGTTTCTCTCTTCCTTTAAAGATAACACACATGAAACATTTAACTCCCCTTCTTCAAAAAAGGACAAGTGTCTTGTATTATAGACAATTACCACAGAGGTGAAGTTTGAAAGGAACCAAACTGTGTGAATTCCCTCAGTCATCACCTAGACAGGAGATCTTAATGTCTTCGTTTTGTTTTATTTACAGTGGCCTTAACCTTGACATATTCATACATGCACCCTAAATAATGATAGGTCTTTAATTTCGTTGATAATGATAAATCCACATAAGAAGTTTGAAAGCAACAGGGCAATCATATTTTGAGCTATACATAATTCTGAAACATTTTTTTTTTGAATGCACAAATGAATGAAGCGATTACTATATAGAGCACTCACCTTTTTCATTCAAGTCGAATATTAATTTTATCTGTATATTAAACATGTGGCATAAATATTCAAATATTTCCAAATGATCTTTTGTTTACCAGCCAAACTTGGAGAATCTGTCTGGTGCGTAATATATCCCCAGCATATTCGGACTGTCTGCCAGTTGTTCTGGTTCCTTCCTTTTTTGTAGTTTCCTCTTCTCCTCGATAATTCTTTTTCTCTTTGTCAGTAAGGTATTCCGCTTCTTTTCTATTAAAGACTGATCAAGATATTTGCAACCATAAAATCCATGGACTCAGGCTTTGGTATCATTAACAGATACATGCACAGTACGTTTATAATGGGAATACATTTCTTTTACTGTGTATGAGATTTAACTACAAATTTGTTTTTTTTTGAGAAAAATCATAAGTCTTCCCTTTTCAGATAGTATGCATATTCTAATTTGCTTTGCACTTTTTGACCTTTGGTCTAGAGGTGAAAGTCATGTTGACTTATATCATTAGTGCACTGCACACTTTCTGTTGGTGATGCAGGTATTATTCAAGTTTAATGAACTATATATATTCAATAGTTATAAAAATGTAAAGCCAAAGCAAGATTTCATTAAAAAAATTGCACCTCTTTGACCTAGAGGTGAAGGTCGTCATGACCTTACTTATGGAATGCACTGAGCACCTTCTCTGTGCAGTTCAAGTTTTATCAACATGTCTTTGACATATTGTATATTTTAGCCAAGAATATATTTTGCTTGAAAAGTGCTTGTTTGACTTTTGACCATGAGGTCAAGGTTACCGTTATTTAATACAGGGCACTGCATACCTATAGTGAGTGATGCAGGTTTACTTCAAGTTTCATTAAGATGAAATTCACAGTATGCAAGTTTATAGCTTGTATCAAGTATTTTAGGAAATTTTGCATGAGGTGAAGGTCATAATGCATTGCACACTTGCTGAGGTTTATACAGGCATACTTAAGTTTTATCAAAATAACTTCTATGGTTTAAAAGTTATAGCTTGGACAAGATTAATTATATCAGAAGAGGAATAGGAATTAGAAACAAGAGGCCTAATGGGCCTGCATCGCTCACCTGGTATTAATCTCACACTTGTAATCTCAAAAGTGGACTAAAATACAGCTACAGGCAGAATTCAGGGTCATTCATTTGAACAAACTTGGCAGCCCTTTATCCCAGCCTGCCACATGCCTAATATCAGTACCCTGAGCCTTTTGGTTATTGAGAAGAAGTTGTTTGAAGATTTTAACATATTTGACCCCTGTAACCTTGAAAGTGGGTCAAGGTCATTCATTTGAATAAACTTTGTAGCCCTTCATCCAGCATGTTACCGGCCCAATATCAGTACCCTTGGCATTTTGATTTTTGAGAAGAATATGTTTGAAGATTTTAAGACATCTGACCCCAGTGACCTTGAAAGTGGGTCAAGGTCATTTATTTGAACAAACTTGGTAGTCCTTTATCCAAGCATGCTACAGACCCAATTTCAGTACCCTGGATCTTTTGGTTATTGAGGAGTCGTTTGAAGATTTTACAACATTCGACCCCTGTGACCTTAAAAGTGGATCAAAGTCATTCATTTGAACAAACTTGGTAGCCATTCATCCCAGCATGCCACAGGCCCACTATTAGTACCCTGGGCCTTTTGGTTATTGAGAAGAAGTTATTTGAAGATTTTAACACATTTGACCCCTGTGACCTTGAAAGTCGGTCAAGGTCTTTCATTTGAACAAACTTGGTATCCCTTCATCCCAGCATGCTACTGGCCAAATATCATCACCCTGGGCATTTCGGTTATTCAGAAGAAGTTGTTTAAAGGTTTTAACCTATTTGACCCCTGTGACCTTAAATATATAGGTAAAGGTCATTTATTTAACAAACTTGGTAGCCCTTCATCCCAGTTTGCTTCTGGCCAAATATAATCACTCTAGGCCTTGCGGTTATTAAGAAGAAGTTGTTTAAAGTAAAATATTGATGCCATGCCATAAGCCTTTGGACTAGGTGAGCTAATAAAACTATCTAATACAATATTTCTCCCTTCATATGAAGGAGAGACAATAATTAAGAGTGACACTTTGCAGGCAAAGGGTTGATGAACATTTCCTTAATTTGCTAATTTCAAATCAACCCAAGTCAATGTAAGAATAATGTTCTATTTCCATTTATATGTTTTATGATGTATTACATTAGGCAAAGTAAATATTGTAGTGTACCCTGATCTTATGGCCTGGTTTGATGAGGATACCCCTGTAGGCCTTCTTCACAATGAGGTCATCAGTTGTTAGACCACGTAGATCAGGCTGTCGAAAGTAGCCATTCCTTTCCTTAGTGTTAAAAAGCTGGCTATATTCCTGTGTGGACGGTTGTGTACAGTTGATGTAGAGTGGGTTGTGGGGCATCAAACATGAGCTGGGAGAAACAAGAAAAGGGTTACATATGTAAATATTAACCAACCATTTATACTACACTTAATGACATAAGCAACATCCAGATAATAATATGCATCAACACTCCCTACTAAACCTCAAGAAAACTAAGCAAAGAATTCATCATTCTATGGTCTCTGATCTTTAAACAATTTTCTGTATCAATAATTACCAAAGGGCTGATAACTCTGCAAATGATTGGGCACACACCTGATTGGTGCATTCATTTGTAAGATAATTACATCAAGGACCAAACTTCTTTCAAAAAGCTGAAACAATATGTCAGTTTATTGACAGTCTTTCTACAACTATAATCAGGAAAATGCTGTTATTCAGATTATGATCTTGAGATTAAGAGTGACTAGATATGTTCTGCTAGACAGTATATTATGGACCTGGTGCCATTCTCTAGCATGGTGATGGTGCGGTTCCACAGTCGAGCTGACCAACCTGCCATGTCATTGACCCCGCCCAGGAAGTAGTCACGGTACTGATCTACAAGGAACGGGCTGGTATTGGCGACAGCAGCATATGCCTTGAAAAACAGAATAACACTATCCTTGTTGTAATAGCTACAGCAGCATATACCTAGGAAAACAGTATAATACTTTCCTAGTAGTATATATTATAAACATATGATATAGACAACAATTATAAAACCACTTATAATACAGTGTAATCACTCTTGTTGGCCTGAATGTAAGTGAGCGGAGGCCTACTAGCTAAAGAGTCTTAATGTTGGAGGAAACCAGAATATCTGAAGAATACCTACATGGTCGGGCAAGTAAACCAGTACATTTGATACCTTTTCACTTTCAACCAGAGAATGGGACCCCAGCCTTCTTAATGAGTGAAAGGTGAACACCTTTAGATCCACTGCACCATCTAACCACCAATGCCCTATATAGTTGTCTAGCAAGGTACAACAGCTTGTCACTGAAGACAGTACAACACTGCCCTAGTATAGCAGCATGTCTCTGAAGACATTATCACACTGCCCTAGTATAGCAACATATCTCTGAAGACAGTATCACACTGCCCTAGTATAGCAGCATGTCTCTGAAGACAGTATCACACTGCCCTAGTATAGCAGCATGTATGGCTCTGAAGACAGTATGACACTGCCCTAGTATAGCAGCATATCTCTGAAGACAGTACGACACTGCCCTAGTATAGAAGCATGTCTGTGAAAACAGTATCACACTGCCCTAGTATAGAAGCATGTCTCTGAAGACAGTACGACACTGCCCTAGTATAGAAGCATGTCTCTGAAGACAGTACAACACTGCCCTAGTATAGCAGCATGTCTGTGAAAACATTACTAGCAGCATGTCTCTGAAGACAGTACGACACAGCCCTAGTATAGAAGCATGTCTCTTAAGACAGTACGACACTGCCCTAGGATAGAAGCATGTCTCTGAAGACAGTACGTCACTGCCCTAGTATAGCAGCATGTATGACTCTGAAGACAGTATGACACCGCCCTAGTATAGCAGCATATCTCTGAAGACAGTACGACACTGACCTAGTATAGCAGCATGTCTGTGAGGACAGTACGACACTGCCCTAGTAGAGCAGCATATCTGTGAAGACAGTAAGACACTGCCCCAGTATAGCAGCATGTCTCTGAAGTCTTTATCACACTGCCCTTTTATAGCTGCATGTCTCGGAAGACAGTATCACACTGCCCTAGTATTGCAGCATGCATGGCTCTGAAGACAGTATGGCACTGCCCTAGTATAGAAGCATGTCTCGGAAGACAGTACAACACTGCCCTAGGATAGAAGCATGTCTGTGAAAACAGTATCACACTGCTCTAGTATAGAAGCATGTCTCTGAAGACAGTACGTCACTGCCCTAGTATAGCAGCATGTGTCTGAAGACAGTACGACACTGCCCTAGTAGAGCAGCATTCCTGTGAATACAGTACGACACTGCCCTAGTATAACAGCATGTCTCTGAAGACAGTACAACACTGCACTAGTATAGCAGCATGTCTCTGATGACAGTATCACACTGCCCTTTTACAGCTGCATGTCTCTGAAGACAGTATCACCCTGCCCTAGTATAGCAGAATGTCTCTGAAGACAGTATCACACTACCCTAGGATAGCAGCATGTCTGTGAAAACATTACTAGCAGCATGTCTCTGAAGACAGGACGACACTGCCCTAGTATTGCAGCATGCATGGCTCTGAAGACAGTATGACACTGCGCTAGTATAGCAGCATATCTCTGAAGACAGTATGACACTGCCCTATTATAGCTGCATGTCTCTGAAGACAGTATCAGACTGCCCTAGTATAGCAGCATATCTCTGAAGACAGTACGACCCTGCCCTAGTATAGCAGCACGTCTCTGAAGACAGTATCCCACTGCCCTAGTATAGAAGAATGTCTCTGAAGACAGTACGACACTGACCTAGTATAGCAGCATGTCTGTGAAAACATTACAACACTGCCCTAGTATAGCAGCATGGTTCTGAAGACAGTACAACACTGCCCTAGTATAGCCGCATGTCTCTGAAGACATTATCACACTGCCCTAGTATAGCAGAATGTCTCTGAAGACAGTATCACACTACCCTAGGATAGCAGCATGTCTGTGAAAACATTGCGACACTGCCCTAGTATAGCAGCATGTATGACTCTGAAGACAGTATGACACCGCCCTAGTATAGCAGCATATCTCTGAAGACAGTACGACCCTGCCCTAGTATAGCAGCACGTCTCTGAAGACAGTATCCCACTGCCCTAGTATAGAAGAATGTCTCTGAAGACAGTACGACAATGCCCTAGTATAGCAGCATGTCTATAAAGACAGTATCACTCTGCCCTAGTATAGCAGCATATCTGTGAAAACAGTACAACACTGCCCTAGTATAGCCGCATGTCTCTGAAAACAGTATCACACTGCCCTAGTATTGAAGCATGTCTGTGAAGACAGTACGACACTGCCCTAGGATAGAAGCATGTCTGTGAAAACAGTAACACACTGCCCTAGTATAGAAGCACGTCTCTGAAGACAGTACGACACTGCCCTAGTTTAGAAGCATATCTGTGAAGACAGTAAGACACTGCCCCAGTATAGCAGCATGTCTCTGAAGTCAGTATCACACTGCCCTTTTATAGCAGCATGTCTCTGAAGACAGGACGACACTGCCCTAGTATTGCAGCATGTCTCTGAAGACAGTATCACACTTCCCTTTTATAGCTGCATGTCTCTTAAGACACTATCACACTGCCCTAGAATAGCAGCATGTCTCTGAAGACATTACGACACTGCCCTAGTATAGGAGCATGTCTCTGAAGACAGTATCACCCTGCCCTAGAATAGCAGCATGTCTCTGAAGACAGGACGACACTGCCCTAGTATTGCAGCATGTCTCTGAAGACAGTAAGACACTGCCCTAGTGTAGCAGCATGTCTCTGAAGACAGTACGACACTGCCCTAGTTTAGCAGCATATCTGTGAAGACAGTAAGACACTGCCCTAGTATAGCAGCATGTCTCTGAAGACAGTACGACACTGCCCTAGTATAGCAGCATGTCTCTGAAGACAGTACGACACTGCCCTAGTATAGCAGCATGTCTCTGAAGACAGTACGACACTGCCCTAGTATAGCAGCATGTCTCTGAAGACAGTACGACACTGCCCTAGTATAGCAGCATGTCTCTGAAGACAGTACGACACTGCCCTAGTATAGCAGCATGTCTCTGAAGACAGTACGACACTGCCCTAGTATAGCAGCATGTCTCTGAAGACAGTACGACACTGCCCTAGTATAGCAGCATGTCTCTGAAGACAGTACGACACTGCCCTAGTATAGCAGCATGTCTCTGAAGACAGTACGACACTGCCCTAGTATAGCAGCATGTCTCTGAAGACAGTATGACACTGCCCTAGTATAGCAGCATGTCTCTGAAGACAGTACGACACTGCCCTAGTATAGCAGCATGTCTCTGAAGACAGTACGACACTGCCCTAGTATAGCAGCATGTCTCTGAAGACAGTACGACACTGCCCTAGTATAGCAGCATGTCTCTGAAGACAGTACGACACTGCCCTAGTATAGCAGCATGTCTCTGAAGACAGTACGACACTGCCCTAGTATAGCAGCATGTCTCTGAAGACAGTACGACACTGCCCTAGTATAGCAGCATGTCTCTGAAGACAGTATGACACTGCCCTAGTATAGCAGCATGTCTCTGAAGACAGTACGACACTGCCCTAGTATAGCAGCATGTCTGTGAAAACATTACGACACTGCCCTAGTATAGCAGCATGGTTCTGAAGACAGTACAACACTGCCCTAGTATAGAAGCATGTCTCTGAAGACAGTATCACACTGCCCTAGTATAGCAGCATGTCTCTGAAGACAGTACCACACTGCCCTAGTATAGAAGCATGTCTCTGAAGACAGTATCACACTGCCCTAGTATAGCAGCATATCTCTGAAGACAGTACCACACTGCCCTAGTATAGAAGCATGTCTCTGAAGACAGTATAACACTGCCCTAGTATAGAAGCATGTCTCTGAAGAAAGTATAACACTGCCCTAGTATAGCAGCATATCTGTGAAAACATTACAACACTGCCCTAGTATAGCAGCATGGTTCTGAAGACAGTACAACACTGCCCTAGTATGGCAGTACGACACTGCCCTAGTATAGCAGCATGGCGTTGAAAACATTACGACACTGCCCTAGTATAGCAGCATGTCTGTGAAAACATTACGACACTGCCCTAGTATAGCAGCATGTCTGTGAAAACATTACGACTCTGCCCTAGTATAGCAGCATGGTTCTGAAGACAGTACAACGTCTCTGAAGACAGTACGACACTGCCCTAGTAGAGCAGCATATCTGTGCAGACAGTACGACACTGCCCTAGTATAGCAGCATGTCTGTGAAAACATTACTAGCAGCATGTCTCTGAAGACAGTATCACACTGCCCTAGTATAGCAGCATGTCTCTGAAAACAGTACAACACTGCCCTAGTATAGCAGCATATCGGTGAAAACAGTACAACACTGCCCTAGTATAGCAGCTTGTCTCTGAAGACAGTACAACACTGCCCTAGTATAGCAGCATATCTGTGAAAACAGTACAACACTGCCCTAGTATAGCAGCATATCTCTGAAGACAGTACGACACTGCCCTAGTATAGCAGCATATCTGTGAAAACAGTCTACCCTAGGAATCTCCCATGGCTTTTCTTATTGATTTAACATCCACTGTAAAAGCTTTAGGTCATACGAAAATGAGTGCTTAACGAGCACAGCCGTAAAATAGGAGTATCTACTGCTCAATGCCTTACAGATATCTATAATATTACAGAGAATAACTTCATATACTTACATCAGAGCCACCTGCTAGCTCAGCATACCTGTAATTATAATTATTATACAACACCTGTCAAACAATAGATCACATACATGTACCTGTAATTATAATTATTATACAACACCTGTCAAACATAAATCTCATACCTGTAATTGTAATAACTATACAACCCTGTCAAACATAAATCTCACAGCTGACCTGTTAATTTGTTTGTTTGTGTTTTACGTCCTATTAACAGCTATGGTCATTTAAGGACGTGCCAGGTTTTGGTGGTAGAGGAAAGCCGGAGTTCCTGGGAAAAAACACGACCTCTACTAGTACCTGGTGACTGCCCCATGTAGGCCTCAAACCCGCGACCCAGTGGTGGAGGGCTATAGTGGTGGTAGAATGACAGACGCCTTAACCACCCCCTTAACCGGCCCCACCTGTCACTACTAGTACTGTTAACCATTTACCACGGTGGTATATTTATACATTTTACACAAACAACGTATTCTGGCTGATTTTTGTTTTCACACATATAAATCCTTGCAAATCTATATGTCTCTGGAAGAACAATCACAAATATAATATACTGTTTAAGGGCAATGCTGGGACACCTTGAGTTAGCTGTGTAGATGGTAATGGTCTAAGGGAGATAATGCATCTATTATGATTGAAATCCAAATTCATTCAGATTTTTATAGTGACATTATGTTTAAATGTTTTCTGCACAAAAATGCAGTCAGCTTTACAAAATGCTTAAAAAAATTGTATTCTTATTCTACAGGCGTCCCGTCCTCTCACAATACTCTACATCCATCAAAGTAAAGTCATTACCACTTATGCGACCGCCTCTTATTCTGATCTGAACTTGTGTTATATAATAGCTACTTTTTGGAGTTTGGCGGTCCGTTTATACACGAACAGAAATTGATATCAAACTAAAGATTAAGGGTTACATTTAATAAGTAATTGTTGAATGTTCTGCTTCCTGATTTAATCATAAAACAATCAAATATCATCAATGCACAGATATGGCTCAATGACCACATCAAATAAAGACTGATAATTTGATCATGATTTATGTTTCAAGGAAAGTTTTATTTCCAATATACATGTACATAAAACCTTATATCTTGATAAACTGTTACCATAATTGATCACCAATCAATAAATCAGTCATTAATAGGACAATGAGATGATGTTACACACAGTTGAGTATAAAGCTGGATTGCTCACCCTGCTACAAGTAGTAAAGTACTACAGTTGTCAATAACGGGACTGGTGATCCTGGTCGTACCGTAAAAATCCTGGTAAATCCTCGTCAGGTCATCCACAGGCACATACCTGTCACATAGCAGGGAGTTCAAAACATTATTTGTATGCTCCTTTTTCAACATATCTGATAATTTACAATGATTTAACTCTGTTTGAAACATGCATTTCTATTGGTTTTATTTTTTAGGTAATCAGCTCATAACATAAAAAAACTGACAAAAGAACAATTTTCCGATGAAAGAACTGTAACGAGCATTCTGATTGGATGATGGAAACAGTTTCGTTATGATGTCGGCGTATCAATTTTTTTAACTGATTTTGAGTATTGCATCATTTGATGGGTGATTTATTTTCTGTATATTCAGATGATGCTCTTGGCCTTGTTATTCCTGAGATACAAACTCATTTGAGATATTCACTTACTTGACCTTTGTATAACATTTTATCAAATTCTGTTTTCAAAAGAAATGAAGTTACTCTTTGAAAAGCATTGGTAATAGTAGAGTCAGGATTGGTGCCTCTGTTTCAGACACTATGTTAAAACGTTTTGATAAATAATGAAAACATTACTGACGTTATGTATTTTGTTATCTGGATATAAGGAATTATTGTTTTATGATACTCTATGAAGTACATTAATTACATAAACAATGAGCAGGATGTTTATGTAAGATGTAGTTTATGACTTACCATTCCTTGAGAGGGTCCATAAATAGTGCTACATCCATGTCAAACAGATTCATCACATCCCCTCCTGAAAAAAAACCCAATTTTCTTTAAAGTGTTTTACCATTCAAGTCAGTTTTCTTTGAAAATGTCTTTCTTTCACAATCTGATCCTCTAATGAATTCCTGCCTACCCTTTATAACTCTTGTGTACTTCTTAATTGCTGTTCATTCCTTAATCCCTGTACACCCCTTAATTCCAGGACACCCCTCAATCCCTTAACATCCTTTAATCTATCTACACCCCTAAATTCCAGTACACACATTAATTCGAGTACACCCCTTAATCCCTTTACACCCCTTAATCCCTGTATACCCCTTAATCCCTTTACACCCCTTAATCCCTGTATACCCCTTAATCCCTTTACACCCCTTAATCCCTGTATACCCCTTAATCCTTGTACATCCCTTAATCCTTGTACACCCCTTAATCCCTGTTCGACCCTTAATCCCTGTACACCCCTTAATCCCTTTACACCCCTGTACATCCCTTAATCCTTGTTCACCCCTAAATCTTTGTACACCCCTTAATCCTTGTTCACCCCTTATTCCTGTACACCCTTTAATCCCTGTACACCCCTTAATCCTTGTTCACCCCTTAATCTCTGTAAACACCTTAATCCCTGTACACCTCTTAATCCTTGTTCACCCCTTAATCCTTGTACACCCCTTAATCCTTGTTCACCCCTTAATCCCTGTACACCCCTCAATCCCTTTACACCCCTTAATATCTGTACACCCCTTAATCCTTGTTCACCCCTTTATCCCTGTACACCCCTTAATCTCTGTACACCCCTTATTCCTTGTTCACCCCTTAATCCTTGTTCACCCCTTCATCCTTGTTCACCCCTTACTCACTGTACACCCCTTAATCCCTGTACACCCCTTAATTCTTGTACACCCCTTAATCCTTGTTCATCCCTTAATCCCTGTACACCCCTTAATCCCTGTACACCCCTTAATCCTTGTTCACCCCTTACTCACTGTACATCCCTTAATCCCTGTACACCCCTTAATTCTTGTACACCCCTTAATCCTTGTTCACCCCTAAATCTCTGTACAACCCTTAATCCTTGTTCACCCCTAAATCTCTGTACACCCCTTAATCCTGGTTCACCCCTAAATCTCTGTACAACCCTTAATCCTTGTTCACCTCTAAATCTCTGTACACCCCTTAATCCTTGTTCGCCCCTAAATCTCTGTACAACCCTTAATCCTTGTTCACCTCTAAATCTCTGTACACCCCTTAATCCTTGTTCGCCCCTAAATCTCTGTACAACCCTTAATCCTTGTTCACCCCTAAATCTCTCTACACCCCTTAATCCTTGTTCACCCCTAAATCTCTGTACAACCCTTAATCCTTGTTCACCCCTTCTGGGCTCATATTTTATGTTCAAAATACGACATTAAACTATTTTGTTTTACCCTTATATTATCCCCTATCATCACAGCCACTTACCAAAATCAGCAGCTGTGTGAGCATTGGTGTAGGAGCCATGGAAGTTTTCCTATTAAAAAGAATTTGTAGGAGGTTTATGCAAGCTCTTATAATACAATCAGTATACACTAACGTACAAACATGTTCATAGATCTAGATATGACACAATGCACATACTATATTCTAGTGACATGAGGAGAACGCAGTAAGTTATGTTTTTTTAATTATCAATCAGCATATGTTATAAATAAACATCTATTCCAAAAGAGCTATGTACAGGACAATTCAAATCTGAAAATCAAATTCAAATGATATAGACAACTTTAAAGTACTTAATGTAGATTTTCTTTTTTAAATAGCTAATTGGTCTGGAGGTTTTATCCTTTGCATTAACAGGTTAAGTTTACTGATTTCTTCCTGACTTAAGTATACACGTTTTGCTTACTTTGACATGCATTATGTGTTACATCTATTAAATATTACTGATTATAAGGAGGATAAAAAGTCTAACACAAATCCAAGGTACGTACACTGTGTACAAATTAGCTGTAACTTTAATTATAACACAAATCAGGTGTAAGGTGGTATATAACCCTAACAGCGGCCGTTAAACATATCCACCTTAGCTTCCTTGGTATAACTTACCATACCCATGGTAGTGATGAAGCCCTGGTCCACACCCAGACTGTGCCACACAATATCAGCCACTTGGTGGGATACAAACCCAAACATGAATGCCACTAGTTTCTCTGTAGCCTGTAACACAAACAAGGTAACAGTCAGGTACAGTGTATAGGGACAGGCTGGTAGTAACCCATAATCTATTAACCACTAATTGGACACTAATTGATCTGATAATTGATTCTAATTTCTCATAATTGATCATCAATATTAAAGACTTAACACTTTTAATACTAAAATATGTTTAATCTTAACTTCATGAATAGTATAGATGTCAACTGCATACAATGATTAGGTTCAGTTTCTATGCAAGTCATGTATATAGTTAAGAAAAAACCCTGATGATCAAATAATATGATGTTACAAAACAACAAGCGTAAAGAATGCAATTGTCATTTTTGGTGGCAGGTGTGTGTGTAATCAGTGAAAACAAATGAAACATATCCAAGGTACTGGGATAGTGACATGTAACCTTCTGTATCCCAGGGACTGGGATAGTGACATGTAGCCTTCTGTAACCCAGGGACTGGGATAGTGACATGTAACCTTCTGTATCCCAGGGACTGGTACAGTGACATGTAACCTTCTGTATACCAGGTACTGGGATAGTGACATGTAACCTTCTGTATACCGGGGACTGGGATAGTGACATGTAACCTTCTGTATACCGGGGACTGGGATAGTGACATGTAACCTTCTGTATCCCAGGGACTGGGATAGTGACATGTAACCTTCTGTATCCCAGGGACTGGGATAGTGACATGTAACCTTCTGTATCCCAGGGACTGGGATAGTGACATGTAACCTTCTGTATCCCAGGGACTGGGATAGTGACATGTAACCTTCTGTATCCCAGGGACTGGGATAGTGACATGTAACCTTCTGTATCCCAGGGACTGGGATAGTGACATGTAACCTTCTGTATCCCAGGGACTGGGATAGTGACATGTAACCTTCTGTATCCCAGGGACTGGGATAGTGACATGTAACCTTCTGTATCCCAGGGACTGGGATAGTGACATGTAACCTTCTGTATCCCAGGGACTGGGATAGTGACATGTAACCTTCTGTATCCCAGGGACTGGGATAGTGACATGTAACCTTCTGTATCCCAGGGACTGGGATAGTGACATGTAACCTTCTGTATCCCAGGGACTGGGATAGTGACATGTAACCTTCTGTATCCCAGGGACTGGGATAGTGACATGTAACCTTCTGTATCCCAGGGACTGGGATAGTGACATGTAACCTTCTGTATCCCAGGGACTGGGATAGTGACATGTAACCTTCTGTATCCCAGGGACTGGGATAGTGACATGTAACCTTCTGTATCCCAGGGACTGGGATAGTGACATGTAACCTTCTGTATCCCAGGGACTGGGATAGTGACATGTAACCTTCTGTATCCCAGGGACTGGGATAGTGACATGTAACCTTCTGTATCCCAGGGACTGGGATAGTGACATGTAACCTTCTGTATCCCAGGGACTGGGATAGTGACATGTAACCTTCTGTATCCCAGGGACTGGGATAGTGACATGTAACCTTCTGTATCCCAGGGACTGGGATAGTGACATGTAACCTTCTGTATCCCAGGGACTGGGATAGTGACATGTAACCTTCTGTATCCCAGGGACTGGGATAGTGACATGTAACCTTCTGTATCCCAGGGACTGGGATAGTGACATGTAACCTTCTGTATCCCAGGGACTGGGATAGTGACATGTAACCTTCTGTATCCCAGGGACTGGGATAGTGACATGTAACCTTCTGTATCCCAGGGACTGGGATAGTGACATGTAACCTTCTGTATCCCAGGGACTGGGATAGTGACATGTAACCTTCTGTATCCCAGGGACTGGGATAGTGACATGTAACCTTCTGTATCCCAGGGACTGGGATAGTGACATGTAACCTTCTGTATCCCAGGGACTGGGATAGTGACATGTAACCTTCTGTATCCCAGGGACTGGGATAGTGACATGTAACCTTCTGTATCCCAGGGACTGGGATAGTGACATGTAACCTTCTGTATCCCAGGGACTGGGATAGTGACATGTAACCTTCTGTATCCCAGGGACTGGGATAGTGACATGTAACCTTCTGTATCCCAGGGACTGGGATAGTGACATGTAACCTTCTGTATCCCAGGGACTGGGATAGTGACATGTAACCTTCTGTATCCCAGGGACTGGGATAGTGACATGTAACCTTCTGTATCCCAGGGACTGGGATAGTGACATGTAACCTTCTGTATCCCAGGGACTGGGATAGTGACATGTAACCTTCTGTATCCCAGGGACTGGGATAGTGACATGTAACCTTCTGTATCCCAGGGACTGGGATAGTGACATGTAACCTTCTGTATCCCAGGGACTGGGATAGTGACATGTAACCTTCTGTATCCCAGGGACTGGGATAGTGACATGTAACCTTCTGTATCCCAGGGACTGGGATAGTGACATGTAACCTTCTGTATCCCAGGGACTGGGATAGTGACATGTAACCTTCTGTATCCCAGGGACTGGGATAGTGACATGTAACCTTCTGTATCCCAGGGACTGGGATAGTGACATGTAACCTTCTGTATCCCAGGGACTGGGATAGTGACATGTAACCTTCTGTATCCCAGGGACTGGGATAGTGACATGTAACCTTCTGTATCCCAGGGACTGGGATAGTGACATGTAACCTTCTGTATCCCAGGGACTATGATAGTGACATGTAACCTACTGTATCCCAGGGACTGGGATAGTGACATGTAACCTTCTGTAACCCAGGGACTGGGAAAGTGACATGTAACCTTCTGTATACCGGGGACTGGGATAGTGACATGTAACCTTCTGTATCCCAGGGACTATGATAGTGACATGTAACCTACTGTATCCCAGGGACTGGGATAGTGACATGTAACCTTCTGTAACCCAGGGACTGGTACAGTGACATGTACCCTTCTGTATCCCAGGGACTGGGAGAGTGACATGTAACCTTCTGTAACCCAGGGACTGGGATAGTGACATGTACCCTTCCATAATCCAGGGACTGGGATAGTGACATGTACCCTTCTGTATACCAGGGACTGGGATAGTGACATGTACCCTTCTGTATACCAGGGACTGGGATAGTGACACGTACCGTTCTGTGTTCGAGGGACTGGGAGAGTGACATGTATCCTTCTGTATCTCAGAGACTGTGATAGTGACATGAAACTGTCTTTATCCCAGGGACTGGGATGGTGGCATGAAACCTTCTTTATACCAGGGACTGGGATATTGACATGTACCCTTCTGTATCCCAGGGACTGGAATAGTGACATGAGACCTTCTTTATCCCAGGGTTCAGGAGTGACAGTTGACCTATAAACCATGTAACATTCCAGGGTTGAACTTTAGGATAGTAATATGTGACTTACAGTGCCTTTAGGTTGAACGTAGTGACATTTGACTTACTTTGTCCTAGAATTGAGGATAGTGGCATGTGACTTACATGTACCATTATCCCATGGTTCAGTATAGTGATATGGACTTACTATGCCTTACCGCTGAGGACAGTAACAGGTAATTATATCATTTACAGTGCCACATTGTTGTGTCAAATGACATTTGACTTACAAATAATGCCCCTGGATTCAGTAAAGTGACAAGTGACTTACTGTGTCCCAGGATTGAGGAAAGTGACATGTGACTTACTGTGTCCCAGGATTGAGGAAAGTGACATGTGACTTACTGTGACCAAGGATTGAGGATAGTGACATGTGACTAAATGTGTCCCAGGGTTGAGGAAAATGAAATGTGACTTACTGTGACCAAGGTTGAGGAAGATGACATGTGACTTACTGTGTCCCAATATTGAGGAAAGTGAAATGTGACTAACTGTGTCCCAGGATTGAGGAAAATGAAATGTGACTTACTGTGTCCCAGGATTGAGGAAAATGAAATGTGACTTACTGTGTCCCAGGATTGAGGAAAGTGAAATGTGACTAACTGTGTCCCAGGATTGAGGATAGTGACATATGACTTACTGTGTCCCAGGGTTGAGGATAGTGACATATGACTTACTGTGTCCCAGGGTTGAGGATAGTGACATTTAACTTACTGTGTCCCTGGGTTGAGGATAGTGACATATGACTTACTGTGTCCCAGGGTTGAGGATAGTGACATATGACTTACTGTGTCCCAGGGTTGAGGATAATTCTTCCTGATGTAGTTGATGGTGGCATTAAGAAAACCTGACCAGTGAGTGTCCTCGGACACATTGTGGTAATATCCTGTAACAGAGGATTTCAATTCTTTTAGTTTTTGTTTTCACTATAAAGCAAATTGGTAGTATTAAAATGTCATACTGTTCTGATGACAGTGATGGATGTTCTCAAGTACAGCTATAACTACAGTCAAACCTGTATTATGAGACCACTCATTGGACATCTGAACTGCAGTGGTCCCTTGACAAAGGTGGTCTCTAAATACAGGTGGTCACATGAACAGGTTTGTCTGTATATAATATTAATAATACAACCATTTAATTGGCCAAATGTAAAGAGGTCAGAATACCTATTTTCAATACCAAGCAGGTCAGATTATTTAGTTGCTGTCTGTAAAAAAGCCAAAATATGAATTTATTTTAAAACAATGAAATAATGTGGTGGTATCATTTGTGAAAGCCAATGATATACATTATCATATAATTTCTTCTAAGGACTGACTAACGATGCACTGTAAAACCCAGCAGACAATATAGAATATACACTACATGACTACACTGTATCGTACATGAAATAGAAGTTGATACAGTCATACCTTTATCACAGAAAGAGCTGTAGAAAGCATCAGGGTAGGGACTCCCGGCCATGAACGCATCATGATGTTTGGTTATAATCTGAAATAGGACAATTGTTCACAACATTCAAATTTTACAAAGAACTATTTTTAAACTGCAGGTACAACAAATAATCATAATACATAATATGATACAGAGAGGTTTTCTGAAGATTCTAATTAGCAGTGGTTCAAATAACAGGCTATCACTTTTATCTTTTTTAGATAAGTCATTTCAAAATTTTCAAAAGACACCAGCTTGCTAGGTTTTACTGAATGCTTTAAAATGATAAAAAAAGAGATAACACATAATAAATAGAAGAACTCTGGAGTTTGAAGATTCCATATTTAAGTCAGAAAATCTTACACATTGCTTCCAACTCCAACACACTACATTTGTAGCAAGTCAAAATTGATATCATTTATTTTATTCATGAAGAAATACAAACCTGTTTGTAATCAACCTTTGTGGGACTAATGTTACCAAAGTGTTCCTTTGCTTTTTCAGCTGCAAAATATTTTTAAAAACTCATTGTCTAAAACAAAAAGTGTCTAAAACATGCAGTCAAGTATGTTAAAGAGAAATAAAAACATAGGTAAACAGGAACAGAGATTTCATGCTTATAATAAACTGTTTACCTTTGTCTCCGGACAACATGAATAGTTAACATGAACTATTCAACAAATTTTGTCTAAAGCAAACTTCATAGGTCCACTGTTGTAATTTTGCTGTATAAACAAGTTTTTCTGCACCATAAACACAAAAAAAGTATACATATAAAAAGAAATAATTCTCCAAATTTCTCACCATATGGTATACATTATCATGATTATGCATGGAAACGGGGAGTGGGAACACCAGACACAAAAATCTGAATTGTCAATTACCCAAATCATGGTTATTGATCGAGAAGTACAATTGTATTTCCAAAAACATTGTTAACTGACATAGTTTGCACTGTGAAACATCATCTCTTTGACATAAAACTGCAGAGGGTTATAAATATCAACTCTCTATAAAACTTTCACACCAATGATAGCTTATATATATTATCCAAACCTTTAACACATTTAATATTACTCTTAGTTCTAAATAACTAAGGCCAAATACAAATATACCTGTGTTTCCCGTTTCCCAAACGACTCTATTTTTTCATGCCGACCCTAATAAATTTTATTGGATTTTCACAGTCACTGTAATGCATTTATTAGCCGTTTAATTGTTTAAAGTGCACATATAATTTGCTATGCATTATATTAGCCTTAGCTTGTGGTCACACTGGTCAGTGTCAAGAGTTTTATTTGAAGATAGTAGTTAAGTTAAGTAGACAATTGTGCTGATATAGGTTGGGATCTGTAGATTAGTGTGACCCTCTGGTCTAGGTGTGGGGGGGGGGGGGGGGGGGAGTCCAGTCTGTGATGTCAGTGTTTGTGCCTCCCGCTAATGCTGACCGCTGAAGTCAAATTTAGCAGGAGTTATGGCCAGTTTAACCTAGTCGTATAGGGGTCAAATTTTAGCAGAATTTCAGCAGCTATTTTAATGTATCAACATTTTTGATGTCGCAGAATTTTGCTAAGGAACAGATTGTTAGGTAGTTCAGCTTGGGAGATGAAGGAGGAGGAGAGAGTTTGGTTGGGGAGTTGAGTTAAGGAGTCTTGAGGAATTCGAAGGAGGTTGAGTTAGGGAGACTGAGTTGATAAGAGGTCTACAGATATAAAAGAGAGTTAGAAAGTTGGAGTTAGAGTGAGAATTACGAAGTTAGTAATAATAGAAGTTTTAGCTGATAGTTTGAAGATCAGTGTAGTTTTACAGTTTATAGTTGGAGATCAGTTTGGAGTGGCGATCGAGATTGAGGTCACAATGGTGAAGACTTGTATATTTTATGATGGATTAAGATACTTGAATTGTAAATATGAAAGTATTTATTTTGTTGTTCAATTAATTTCAAGTGGTGGTAGTGGAAATTGAGAACAGATAAAGCATCAGAGACTTATGAGAATGTAACACTGGTGACCATCAGTTGAGTTTCAATTACTAAAAACTAGTGTCCAGCAGTAGGGATACTTTAGAAATGTAACACTAGTGGCAGCACTACTGTAAATTAGGTTGGTAATTCCATAAACATTGAGGGGGGTCAAATAATAATTTACTTCAGTGTGTCGTTCGGGCCTGCTCAACACAAAATCTAGGATTACAGTTATTCTTTTCATTTATGTGTTTCATTTTACATGAATAAAACTTATATTTGTTACCATTCATACTTTATAAAAAAAATCAAAATTCATGTAGGCAATCAGGAGATTTTTTTCACCAGATTATTATATATTTTTTGGGAGCTGAAACAGAAAACGAACATATATTTTTATTTGGCCTAACCAAATATTATACCAATTGTAACACATGTTCATGTCTGTCTGTGTGTATGCACTGTAACATACCATTGCGGAATAACAACTAACGTAGGCTATGTACCACACAAAAATACTATAAACATTCGTTAAAATATTCACTGAAAAAAATCCATGGTCAACAGGAAGCGGAGTAAAATAAAGTTCATCCTCTCAGTGTTGCTGTATCAAGCGCCTAAGTCATGAATATGAACGATATACAATCAATTTATATGAATTTGAAGTGAACTTACAGATGACAATATGCGTTGTTATTCCACAACCACTCACATACGACAGGAATGGCAGAAACCACAACAGAGAAAACAAAACGTGACAGCGCGCCGCCATTTTGCCCAGTTTTTATAAATGTTTGGTCACATGACAATCATGTGAATTAAGCAGGGCGGCTGCGCCACACAGACAAGGCTGTCTATGAGAAGCTCAAACGGTGAAACCAGAGCTAGTAAATCATTTTTGAGGAAAACACCTTACAAATTACACGCCGACGTTTAAAATTTATAAAACGAGTTCTGTATTTTATCAAGAACTTAGATAGTCTAATTCTGTGACCCTATACATTTTTCTCAGTAAAAACAGCCATTGGGATGAGTTTCATATTATATTATATCAGAGACGTATATAACACGTCTCTGATTATATTATATATTATATTATACAACAGCTTAGATATAGGGGGTGGGGGTAAACAAATCTGTTGCGTTGTTAATTATGTCAGAATGGGAAAAGGCATGTAGCATGTATCTCACTGCATGTATATGACTCCCTGTCCCTTGCAGAATCGACACAAATTGTATAAATTTTACAACAATTATGAAGCAAATTGTTTCAACTTATATACATATTCATCATTATTGTAAGCTCAGAGCGTGTGGAGGTAGTATTGTGAAAGGAAACCAGAGTCCCCAGAGTGAACCTACGTGGTCGGACAGGTGATTCTAGTAATGTGGGAGTAAATCGTAGCACATGGAGAAAACCTACGGAGTCGGACATGTGCACACGTGATCCCATACTTTTTCGCATCCGATCGGGGAATCGAACCCAGCCGCGCGCCGCCTTGGTGAAAGTCGAGTGCGTTATCCGCTGCGCCACCCGGTGTTTTTTCGAATTCATTTTCTTCTATTTAGGGGACATTGAAAAAGCAAGAATATTTCTGTAACCTGCTGTATCCCATTGCATGTTTATCGTCGGTGTTTTTCTACTAAGATGACACGAAAAAGGTCAAATTGACGTGTTGCCCCCATTGCTACACTTGTTTGTTTCGTTTCATAATAATTTCCTGTCTACTTTCTTTCTTTTCTATCCACTTTCTTTTTCCGGCAGTGTCTCTCTAGGCACCGGCCTCACGTGACCCTGCATGGCTGTTGCAAGGACGAAAAAACAAACAAAGACAAACGTCAAAATGCTTTCTGAAATCCTGTCAGTCTTGCCAAATTGATACAGTGTATATTTGAAAATGAAACTTATTGTATACAATTTATAGTAAAAAATATAACTTTAACGGTTTTCTAATTTGATAAGTGTATTGTGTGCTTTTGGCGTTTGTTGTCAATATTAATATAATTTCAACCGGTTGACGGTTTAGGAATTAGGATGAAATTATTTTCTCTTTGGTATGAGAGTAGCCAATAGGTGGCTCTAGTCGTGCTACAGGTGTTCGCACGTGCTGAGATAGTGTATATACGTGTCATTCAGGCGACACAGGTAAAGCCGTGCACACGTGAATTTTTTGTTGTTGTTATTTATAAATAAGTAGGGTAGGAGTGATGATTGTGTGTGAGATGTACACTTACACTGTTGTGTTGCTGTTTTTTGATGATTATATGTAAATAAATATCAGTCAGTGCCTATGTCGCTGGGAAATACAAGATTTTGTATTTGTGTTATTATTCCTATTGGATAATAATTTAGGAGAGAATTTTCCCTTTTTGCTTTTCTCTCTCCTTTACAACAAATAACACCAGAACAGTATTTTGTTATTTAATTACACACTGTACACACAATAATAATAATCATAATCTTTAAGTAACGTCGTGTACAATTGTCAACAACAGACATAAGCTCTGTAGAGCTTTTATTACAACGCCGCTAAGGGAACAAATGGTATTTTCGTGGTGGAGGAAAACCCACGGGGGGAAAACCACCGTGCCATCGGAGGGATAACAACTAACCCTATCAGACATCAGTCTCTTTTTTCCCACCACCGCTGGGGATTGAACCGAAATTCTTGGGAGAGCGAGTGGTCTGAAGCTCACGCTTGATAGCACACAGTAGTACAATAACTGTGCGCGTTAGCGATCACGGCTACCGAGGCACCCTATGTGAGGAAATGTGAGGAATTTCGCCTTAATAAAGTAATATTGGACAAATATATGTTTTTCCAGACGATGCGCGAATCGTTATCTGGACGAATATATATATATTACGATATCGCGTACAATAAATCTTTTTGATCTTGGTCTTGCTGGCAATTTTGAATAATTGTTAAGATAACATTCGTGCAACAGATGTGACATCTCGCTCTTTATGACGCTTATCTTTTTTTATTTTCCCGTCTATCTGACTACGCGGTACCCCACAGGAGTGCATTGCTGTCAATAGTATACACAATCATCATATTTGTATCTTTCGGCTTCTGCGAGGATTTTGCTGTATTTAACGCACTACATTGCGTTGCAACATTTTGGTAACGCTCGTTTGTTATTTCAAATATTCGTTCTAGACTTTCTTATATGATTGACTTTCGGTTCATCAACCCTGAATACTGGCGATCATATGAATTTGGATACTGTACCTGATAGTTAGTTGTTTGCGTCCACATAATTTCGCGATCTGACTATACCGTTCCTCTCGGCAAAGACAATGATTTGCGTTTAATTTGTGCATTGTGTCAATAATTAAGGTAACAGATTGCGCAGTCAACCCTCTCTGTTACTTTACGCGAAAGAAATATGCTAATAAGACAAAAATAAAATAGTTTATTTTCAACGATGGCATTCACAGAAACAAAATGGCCGCTACGTAAAAACGAGATTCACCGAGGAATTACGACACCAATCAAACAACTAACGACCATGAGTATTAATTATAAGGAACAATGGGTTAATTACTGCATATAGCTAGTATATAATTAATGATAATATCAAGCTTTTGTGAACAGATACATTGGGAAACATTTTATAAGGAACAATGGGTTAATTAAAATTCAAAATATTTTAGTATCGTATCTTTCTGTTTTTGGATATATACTATTTATTGTGTTATGTCCTCTGGTACCGTTTTTAAACTTGATATACACTAGGGAATACAACATAAAACGTCTGAAACTTAAATAGATATATTCTGAGTTGTGTACTCACAATCTACAAAATGTGTAGACTTAAGTAACTTTTATCTTCTATCAATTTATCTAAGAATATAATAAAGGTCTGATATCCTATTTACAAAGTCCATTCAACTAACAATTAAATAAATTTATTTTCACGCTCTTGTCTGTTTATTTACCAATACCACCTCCTCAGACGAAAGGAAACACACATATCCTTTTATATATTGTTTAAAGGATAACAAATACGGGTAAATAAAACGCATTGATCTAAATTCCTTTGATATTCTTTTATTTGTGAAGTTATTGGGATACGTCCATGCGAATGTTTTTTTTTTTTTTTTAAAGTTCATGTTGAATTGTTTATAATACAGTGTACTTCATTTTAATTTATTTTATTTTGTTTTATTTTACGTCTGAAGTGATTTTATATGTTATTGGTGTAAAATTTGTCCTTGTTTACTTAATGTTTGGCATTGTATAAGACGGAAACAGCACATTTTCTACTTTTATAAGACGTGAACAGAACTGCATAATATTTGACATTGTATAAGATATGGTCTACTTAATGTTTGAAATTTAAAATTGTTCAATATTATATAATACATAAACTACTGTTGACGACTCTATCATTCCACTCCCCACATAGCTAGCGTGTGTAACCAGCGTTTAGTTGACATCACTGTTTCTCCCATTGAAGTAAGAGACGTTATTCGTACATTACACTGTTATAAAGCTGTCGGACCTGACCTTGTTAATGCACGACTCTTGAGAGAAGCTATTCAAATCCTAAGTGACCCCTTGGGTAAAATATTTAATAATCTCTCTATTTTGCTACATTTCCTAGAATATGGACACAGACAAATGTTACGCCTGTCTATAAGAAAGGTGAGAAATCGTCCCCGTCAAACTATAGAGCTGTTTCTTTGTTATCGATAGTTGAAAAGCTTATGGAACAGTGTGCGTACAAGCATGTTTGTAACTTTGTCATAGAAATTTGAATGATATTCTGTGACATGAGCAAAGCTTTTGGTAGGGTTTGGCATCGTGGTCTTATTTTGAAATTATCTAGTTTTGGTATTAATGGAAATTTGTTAAAATGGCTTAAGCACTACTTATCACATTGTTCCAACGTCAAACTGGTGTGATGTTACAGCTGGTGTTCCCCCAAGGGTCTATATTAGGCCCTTTATTGTTTTTATATCTATAATTGACATTGTTAATGACATCGAAGCAATAATTGAATTATTCACCGGCGACACGTCCCTATATACTATTGTGGACACACATGTGGCTAGTACAGACCTCATCACTAGAGATATGCATAAGATATATACCTGTTCCAAAAGAAGGCCTGTATACTTCAATCCCCTTAAAACTGAAACCCTAACAGTTAGTAGAAAAAATAATGAACGTTTAGCTCTTTCTAAGGGATCACAAACATCTCGGTGTCTACCTATCTAACAATGACGCTAGCGACGACCATATGTTCAGTTTTCTCTTGACCGTCAATCCCTTCAAACTATATATTTTTCATTCATCCGGGCAGTATTATGATATGGGACAATCTTACAATTGCTCGAATAAACCTTTTACAAAGTCTAAACTAAGAGGCCGAATTGTAACGGGAGAAACTAAACTAACGAACAGAGTTATATTATATCGGGAAACAGGATGGCAGGCCCTTTCCCAAAGACTTCAAGCTCACAAAGTATTCCATTTTCATAAAATGCTAGATGGATTGGTTCCCCCTTATTTAAAAGATATCCTCCCGAATAGAAATGCTGATTTACATACTTGGGCTACTAGAGACGTAGATAATTTTCGTCCAATCTTTTGTAACACAACTCAATTAAATGTTCGTTTAAATTTCGTCCATCCTAAAATGTTGGAATTCTCTCCCCTTGGACCTTAAAGTAGAACCATCGTTGCACTAACTTAAACATTACTTATATAGACAACTTTAAAATGTTCCATCCTATTTCCTTTGTGGAACTAGACACGCTA